TTTTTAAATAAAAATTGTATAATATAAAAAAGCAATAATTAAATTATTATTTAAAATAACCACTGTTATATAATGTAAAGTTTAATGTTAATTAATATATATTTTTAATCAAAATGTAAAAATTTGAAAAAGTAAAATTAATTTATTTTATTGAAATATTACATTAATACAGTAATAATAATTTAATTTAGTAACTAATAATGTAATAAAATTTATTGACTAACTAAAGTACTGTATAATTAAATAAAGAGAAATTATGTTTAATTTACACATTAATTGTTTTCAAACATTATTAATCTATATAATTATTAATTGTAAAATAGTATTTATTACAAAATAAAACAAACAAAGCATTAGTAAATTTATTAAATTATTTTAATTTGCTAGACATTTGCTAATTACAATAATAACTACTAATATATATTTTACTGTATATATATAATAAAATCATTTAAATTTTAACAAAAAATAAAGCCAACATTTACAATGGTATCACAATTAGTATTGTAATAGCAATCAAATAAATGTCACTAACAATAACTGAAACAGTATTTGATCCGACAAAACCATTACCACCTGAACTATGGGTTACGGATGCGGACAGTCATCTCTACAGAATCGGTCTATCCCTTTACAAACCAGTCAACTATAACCAGAATAATAATAATAATAATCGGCAACTATTTTACAATCCAATACTTGTATTTTTTGTAGTATCACTACAATTAGTTCGTAATATTATTTTATTAACCTATAATGACTGGTTTACTACTATTCAACTGAGACTATTGTGGGGAGATTTGGGCTATTTTATTGGCACTGGTATGTTGGTAAACTCAATTGCCTCATTTTTATCGATACTATCACTCGGTTCGCAATTGATAAACTTTTACAACATTTACACGGGTATTGCTACTGATCATCTACGGGTGCTTGTAGTGATGGCCGGTATACGGGCACCGGTTACTTGTGGTATAAGCGATCGGCAAACAATTATACGATTTAGGCAACTATGCCGTCGATGTCTACTGACAGCCCGTTTAACTACAATAGGCGTAGCTTTTTTGACACAAGCACTGGTAGCCGTATCGTTCAAACCGAAAACTACTTGGACTCAGTTCATATTGTATGCTGTACCCCATGGCATTGGTTGGGCAGTTTGGTTGCACTATGTTTTCAATATACTAGTTTATCAGTCAGTCTACTATTATTTGATTACCACTTATTTGGAGTGGAAAATGAAATCACGAAACAATGATATTAAACAAATGTTAAGCAGTGAACTAAATGATCGCACTGTTAGCTCCTATATTACTGGTGCAATACGGGAGTTAAATAGCTTATACAATGAGATCAGTGACTATAATACCGGCTATTGGGGTAAAGTTTTGGGTCTACTATGGATAACAATCGGCTTAATAATAGCCATGTGTTTGAATTTAGTATTTATAGACAAAATTGATGTTTTGGTTATGATCTTTGTTATGGTATATCTCGTCAATTATATAACACTATTGTTGTTTATAATCCGTATATCTAATGATATATTTTACGAGCCATTGATTACCTATAAAATATTGAATTCATATCTATGTTCACGTCATAGAAAAACACTAAAATTAAAATTTAAGGTAAGTATTAGATTACAATATAATAACTATTATTTAAATATAATTATATTCAATATTTTCAAAAAAAATTCAGATATCAACACTATTGGGTCGAATATCTCAACAAAAAATTGGATTTTATTGTTGGAAATTGTTTATTATTAATAATTTTAGAGGCTATGAGGTATTTGTATTAAATATAATTAGTAATTTTACTTATTAAAACTTTTTAATTTATATTTTTTATCTAGATTATTTCAATGATAAGTTTATTATGTATTAAACTTAATGATATATCTAAATAGCTATTATACTATGTTATATAAAATCTAATAAAAAATTTATTATTTAATCCAAACTATTTTTTAAAATAATTTAATTATTTAATTTATACACTAATTGATTTCAAGCATAATTAGTATATATAATTGAATAATTGTAAAAAACTATTTATTACAAAAACCAATCAAACAAAAGCATTAATAAATTTATTGAATTATTTTAATTTGCTATACATTTGCTAATTACAATAATAACTACTAATATAGTTATAATAAAATCATTTAAATTTTAAAAACAAAAAAAATATAGCCAACATTTACAATGATATCATAATTGTAATAGCAATCAAATAAATGTCACTAAATGTCCAAAATAAGGGTAATAATGTTTAATTTACACATTAATTGTTTTCATAGATAATTATTAGTTTATTAAATATTTAGTAGTAAAAAAAATTATTAATAGTAAAATATTTTTATTATTTATACAATTAAAATGAGTAATCATTTGTTTAATAAAAAATTTCACAAAAAATTATATCATAATTTGTTAGACATTTAATATTTAAAATAATAACCAATAGTTTTATTATTAATAAAAATAATTTGAATTTAAATAAAGGCTATCATATTTACAAAATAGTTATATTAATACTAACAATCAGTTAAATGTTACTAACATTAACTGAGACAGCATTTGATCCGACAAAACCATTGCCACCTGAGCTATGGGTTACGGGTGCGGACAATCATCTCTACAGAATCGGTCTATCCCTTTACAAACCAGTCAACTATAACCAGAATAATAATAATAATAATCGGCAACTATTTTACAATCCAATACTTGTATTTTTTGTAGTATCACTACAATTAGTTCGTAATATTATTTTATTAACCTATAATGACTGGTTTACTACTATTCAACTGAGACTATTGTGGGGAGATTTGGGCTATTTTATTGGCACCGGTATGTTGGTAAACTCAATTGCCTCATTTTTATCGATACTATCACTCGGCTCGCACTATAGACAAAATTGATGTTTTTATTTATGATCTTTATTATGGTATATCTTTTTAATTATATAACACTATTGTTGTTTATAATCCGTATATCAAATGATATATTTTACGAGCCATTGATTACTTAAAATTATAAGATATTAAATTTATATCTATGTTCACGACATAGAAAAACATTAATGTAAAAATTTATTTTTTTTGCAGATCATTTCAATGATAAGTTTATTATGTATAAAACTTAATGATTTATCTAAGTAAGCTAAATTTTCTTATTATTATATTATATTTATTTACTAAATTTTTTGTAAAATTACTTACTATTTAAGTTAGTTATTGTATAATAGATATATATTAATTTTACCAAATTTACTTGATAAATTTGTTAAAATTATTGTAATTAATTATTTACAATTTAAAAACATTTAAAATTTTAAATTAAATTGAATCTAAAATATTTTGTATGTAATTATCTTGCTTAATCTGATATCAATAATACAATGTTTAGATATTATATAACTGATTAATTTATTTGTCAATTGTTTTATTTTATTTATTTAGCTAAATATTGTATTTTTATTGAAATATTATTACTTAATTGTATTTTATTTTTAAAAATAATGCATATTAAAAAAATTAAAGATTTACTATATTTGTAATTTATTGTTACATTAAAAAAAATTATCAACATTTTTTATAAAATATTATTATACTTAAAGATAAATTTATAGTAAAAAATCAGATATCATAAAAGTATATCAAAGTTTGAATGTCATACAAATAATTTATTTTTAAAAAAAATCATTTATTAAAAAACATTATAAATAACTTTTTTTTGATAGACTTTTATTGAAATGCGAATATTTTTGTATTTAAAAATACAGTATTATATTATTTATAGTCATAAAAAACAAACAGTTTTATTATTTCATATGAAAATAATGTAAAGTAAAGTCATTGACAAACAAACAAAAAATGCTATTAGTTTTAATGATTATAATTTACTTAATTATTTAGTACTATTAATTTTATTTGCAAATAATGTCTATTAATTTAATGAGTAATATTAAAATTTAAAAAAAATCATGTTTTTAACATAAATATAATATACAATAGTATACGTTATGTTGTATATGTGTTAATAAAACTACATTAAACTGAATTAGTTTTCTTTAAAAATACAATAAAAATTACAATAACAACAAAATTAAATGTTAATCATTGAGAATTGCAAAAAATTATTTTTCAAAAAAAGTCAAATAAATAATTTTACTGTAAATAAATGTTGACATAAAAGTACACAAACTTATTATATATTATAGTCTATTTTTTAGGGGGGAGGGAAATGATATGCAAACTATGCAAATGGCTTAATGAGCAAAAATTTTATTTAAATAAAATAAATTACTGTTAAACATGAAACCACATTAATATTAAGATTAACATATTTTTATATATATTAAAAACAAACACACAGTAGTACTGTATAATGTTATATAGTGTAGTATATAAAGTAATTATATTAATGATATTTTTCATAAAAATATTATATACAAATATAATAAATAAATCAATTTTTTAACAGTGACAATGAAAATCATATGTAACCTTGAATTTATTAGGTAAAGAATATTCTGTAAAATATTTTTTAGATTATTTATATTATATTAATACTATATATATATATATATATATATATATATATATATATAGTATATTATTGTTATATTTATTTGTTCAAAAATTATATATTAATGTTTTTATGTAGTTTGTAATAAAAATTTATAAATAATTGATTGTAATAATAATAGTAATATTCATATTTTATTTTCTAGAAATTAAACCAACAAATTATTAGATTATAATCTTTAATGTATAAATATTTTAGATATATCTGATCTGAAATAGTTAATACATAAAAAAATAGATATTAATATTATTAGATAATTATATAATAAATTTTTAACAACAAAAAAACTTATTAAAATTTTAAATCTATGATTAAATCTAAAAAAATAAATGGTTATTATTAATAATAAATAATAAAATAGTTATATTTTTGTTTTAATAATTTTTGTTAACAACAACAACAATGTTAACAAATCCAGTACTACTTGAATCTCAGATGACCCGCAAACGGGTCGTCTCGCGGACCAAATGGGGTGCCGGTCTGACCGGTATCGGCGGTATCCTAACACTGGGATTGCCATTGTTTTTGTCGTCAGTCATCAAAAGCCAGCTCTATATGAGCTCAGGCTTTAGTCCGGTGCGTACGGTACTGGATGGCGAGGTACCGGTGCCCATCTATTTGAAAATCTATGTGTTTAGCATACAAAACGAGGAAGACTTTCGCAACGGTGGCAAAGCCAGACTCAAAGAGATGGGACCGTATGTCTACCGGTAATGTTATTATTATTATTATTTTAATTAAATTATTTTTAATTTTGCATACCTGTCCCTTTATAGTTTTTTTGGGGGGGTGGGGTGAGGGTGGCGGTAATGATCAGTTATGTATACAAATCTAAACAGTAATTACTTAAGAAAGTTATCAGTTTATTAATTTATATAAATAAAAGTTAAATCTATAATTTTGTATATCTGTATAATTAGAGAAAATAGTTGTATATGATTTAATAGAAATATATTATTAATGAATTATTATTATTTTTTTTTAAATAAATATCTGATTATTATTAATATTCAATATTATGTTTACAACAATTTTATACAAAAAAAAAACAACAACAAAAATAAATTTTTAGTACAAAGTTAAAGTGACCTTTTCATGATGTGTTTTTCATATTTATTATTAATATTTTTGTTTTTAATTAGTAAATAATACATTGTTTTACAATAATATACTACAGTACTAATAATAATATACAATATTGACAATATTTTAGTGTTAACTATAGTTTTTTTTAAATGTTATCAAAAAATAAATAAATAATACAATAATTCATATATTAAATTTGCTTATATTTACATTAAAACAAACTAATTTACATATACAGTACTATAATAATTTAAATAATGAGATAATTATAAATTATAAATTTTAATTTTGTAGTATTAGACCCCACATCGACATAATGGGTTGGGGCGACAACGATGAAACAATGATACTGTCGCTGACCACCCGTTTCGAGTTTGACCCGAGTCGGTCATCTGGATCGCAACGTGACAAAATCACCATGGTCAATTTGCCTATCTATGTATGTATAATGTATAATGATAACTTTTTTTTAAATTATATAAATAAATTTTGTTGATATTTTTTTAAATTTTACTTATTTTGTTTTTTGTTTGTTTGTTTTGGACAGTCGATGGGCGGTTTAGTACGAAATATGTTACGCCGATATCCGCTATCATTTTTTTCGGTACCAATGGCCGTCGGTTTTCTCAATCTGATAACATTAACGCACGGCGAAGGCCTAATCAAACGTATGACTGTCGGCGAGTTTGTCGGTGGCTATCCGTTCAGTCTATTGGAAACGGTAGACGTATTGACCCAACCATTGAAATGGATGGGCGTTGAACTACCTGATTATTTGGACGCCCTAAACCAACGTTTCGGTCTCTTACATTTGGCCAACAATACGCCGATAGAGCCGCTAGAGTTTGAAACAGGTATCGGCAATACTACACTATTTAAATACCGGGGCTTCAATAACAAATGGTTTCAATATACTATACAGTATGTATTATACACTATAAGCTATTTCAATTAATTGTTGTTGTTGTTGTTGTTGTTGTTGATCTCCCGTTCCCCCATATATTTATCACATTTTTTGTGGATCTATAATGTTGTGTATGTTTTTTTCAATTTTTTTTAATTTGCACAAAAAAAACTTTTTTTATAAAAGATTGGTTGACTTTTTCTATGACCCAAAATGTCGTGTCTATAACTCGACCCGCGGTATGGCTATACCGGGTCATGAGTTTGGCCCGGGAACGGATACATCGGATAAGATCTATGCGTTTGAGGGTAATGTATGCAAGTAGGTGTCTAACCTGTTTTTATCACTATTTATTATTATTATTTAACCATTTCCTATACATGACTACTACATACATGAATAATTAATGGATTTTCCAGTTATTATTATCGTTTATTACAATCTATTAAGTACTGTATATACTGTATATAGCATAGTTAAATCAATAAGTATTTAATTTAAAGCCAGAAAAATTGTTTTATTTTATATCTAATAAAAAAATATTAAAATAATTTAGTAGTAAAACAATTTTACAGTATTATTGATATTATTAATCAAAAAAAAATTATTATTAGTATAAATAATTTTTTAAAAATTAGTAATTATTATACTAATATCTATTGATGCTATTTTAATTAATATTTTTTTATATATATTTATATAGATTAAAATATGCCAAATATTCTGGGTACGGTATGTCATGGGGTGTACCAACGTGGCGGTTTCAGTTGCCCAGGGAAATGTTTTCGGCTCCCGACACCAACCGATATGATAAATGTTTTTGCTCGACACCCGACCAGCCCGACCTGTGCGACGGTCTATTTGATTTGGGTCCCTGTGCACTGGGCGCACCAGTAGCCCTGACCTATCCGCACTTTTTGTATGCCAGCGATAACATCAAACGTAACGTCGATGGCTTGCATCCCGATCCCGACAAACACCAGTCCTATTTGGATGTTCATCCCGTAAGTGTGTTGTCTATCTAATTAAAATTAATTATTATTTGTTTGTTTTTTTTGGTGAAAATATTTGTTTTAAAAATTATTTTCATTACGGGAACTACTACTAGTCGGTAGGCCTACCGATCAATGGTGTAATCCGACTTCAGGTTAACCTATTGATGGAACCGTTGACTTTATTGGCGTAATTATTAATAATAATAATAATAATAATTTTTTAGATAATATAGATTAAAATCATAATTTTTTGTTTGTTTTATTATAAATAAAAAACAGTGGTTTTAGTGGTATCCGTGAGGCTGTACTGCCATACATATGGATTGAACAGGTATTATATTTACCGTATTTACCGATTTTGATATAAATATTTTTAATTAATTAAACAAACAAACAAATAATTGTCAAATAAATAGGAAATAGACTTACCGGGATTTTTAGGTGCATTACCGGCTGCCGGTCTATATCCATTGATGGCCATCGATTATGGTTCATATCTGGCAATGCTCGGTGGACTGGCACTACTAGGTTATACCGGTGCCGATGCTGTACGCAAACGTAAACTGGTCAGTGTTTTTCAATAGGATTATTATATTTTATACAAGACTAATCATTTTTGTTGTTGTTGTTATCGTTGATGATGATAGCTATTCCCGTCGCAGGCATCACTACAACAACAACAACAAACACCATCATCACAACCTCCACGTCCACCACCACCACCACCACAACAATCACCAAACACTGAAATCAAGAACCGTTACCCATTGTCGTCACCGACACAACAACAACCGAAGACCATTAGTGGACAATTGGCTCAAAACGGAAATGGCTTATCAAACAATAACAATGATTATAATCAGCCGCCGGCCTATTCGCCCAGTGCCCAAAAATATCAAATCAGACGATCGCATTTCGGTACGCAAACATCACCGCTCAACGACCCGCGGCCGCCATCTCTTTCCGCTGCGGCGGCGGCCACCGCTGCTAATTCCTATAGACCCGCAACTGCTGACCGACTGGAAGCTAACTATACACCTCCCGGTTCCGTAGATCACATGGATATCAATAATAATAATAATAATAATAATTAATTTTTTAGCAATCAATCGATCAATCAATTAAATAGTAATTTATAATTAAACAATTAGTTTATGTAAAATAAATATTTAAAAAAAAAATTATATGTAAACTATCATAAATTACAGATACATAGAGAGACAGTAAATAGTAATATATTAAATAATTTATTTATATTTTAATTCACTAATATATTATATATTTTTAAAAAAAACTATTAATAATATTCTGCATTGACTAACAAATACATGTATTTAATAATAATAATAATAATTTAATGACAAAATAGTAATTATATATAAAAAAATAAGTTAATGTTTTTATTTCAAATTATAAATTATAATAAACTTATACAATAAATATTTTGTGAAACAATTATGTTAAAACTACAGTATTATTAGATCAGTAAATACTTATAAAACAAAAAAGTATTTTTTAATTAATTTATTAAATATGAAAAAAAATTAAACAAATAATATTGAATAGATTACAACAATAACAAAACAAACAAAATATATAAATAATTGGGGTTTTTATAGAAAAAAAATAATAAATACTATAATTAAATTTGAAATTATAAAAAACAAAAATAAATTGTAATTTAAAAAAATACTACTAATAGTGATAATAATGACTTATCCATTAATTATGGATATTATTATTTAATTAATACTACTATTCCTACTATTAAAGTCCTACTTTTAAACCAAAACAGCCGGCGTTTCAATCTGTTTGGTCATTACTACACCGGTATTAGGTTTGCCAGAGTTGTGGCCCTCGTTTATGGTCATGAAAAAATTGGGCGTCAAATCTATGGCCCGATACAAGTCGTCCATCGATTGTACTCTAATGCCATTCAGATGTGTGATAATATCAAATTGTCTGCAATTTAATTTTGAAATGACAACAAACAGTTAGTTATTTAGTGAGAGGACAGTTGTGTGTGTGTGTGTGTGTGTGTGTGTGTGTGTGTGTAGGCATGTATACTCTAAATATCTACTACTACTACTACTATTACTACTACTACTACAACAACAACAACGGTACTTACTGGACATTGACATTAGGCTGTCCCTGCTGTGTGTTACGTATAACACTGGTAATCATAATACCGGAATAGTCGACCAGCCGATCGTTTGGTACACCCAGATCTAAGTACCGCTGTCTGTCGTTGTGGTCGTACCAACTGGTGATCAGACCGTATGTTTTGAACATATTTTTCGTATATTCTTCGATAAATCCTGTACCGGAATAGAGAGAGAGAGAGAGAGAGAGAGAGAGAGAGAGAGAGAGAGAGAGAGAGAGAGAGAGAGAGAGAGAGTTAATTATTATAGAAATACAATGCAATCAAATTGTATGATTAGCTTGTTTGTATGGATGGGGGTGGGATGGTATGGGTGTGTGAGTACACTTACTTTTCAAATAGATATGCAATAGACACATTGCAACATTCTGTGGATAGACATACTGATTGAAACCTATCACTTTGCCATCGGTATCGATGACGGCACCGCCCGCCCGTGTACTGTAGGCCGAGTGCTGTACATACTGCCAGCTAGGGTTGGCTTTCGGTGCCATATCGTTGATGGTGCGTACAGTATTGATAATGCCTTCGCTAACATTGGGAAAGTAGCCGTAACCGGCCTGCAGTGTATCGACCACATAGATTTGGTCGCCGGCCCGCAAATCTTTAGTAGACAATCGGCCCATAATGTTTGGAAAATCGTTACGCTGTTCGGGACCCTGTATTTTGATGGCACACAAATTATTGGTAGTATCCCTGTAGACTACCCGACCCTCTAATTCGCTGCCGTCCCATAAGCTAACGATTACGATATTGCATTTTTCCATCTCATTGTTGGCGGTAACAATCAGTCCCGATTCGGTAACAATAGTACCCAATGCTACCATTGGTGCGTAGCCGTCGTAGTCGTCGGGAAACGAATCCATATCGCAGTGCAATGGCCACAGTTTGAGGCCGACAAACGGTGCAAACCATTTGCCGTAAAACGGTTGGTCACCATTATCAATGCTACCGCTATCACTGTCACTACTACCGTCACCGCTGCCGCCACTACCGCCACTGCCTATGCCGCCACTACCGCCACTACCGCCACTACCGCCACTACCGCCACTACCGCCACTACCGCCACTGCCTATGCCGCCACTACCACTACCGCCACTACCGCCACTGCCACTGCCGCCACTACCAGCACCCGGTGGGCTTCCGTTAGCCAACAGTGCACTTCTCAATAGAAACTCGGATGACAGTGGTGATGGTTGCTGTTGGTGGTGGCCAACAGTTGTCCATAATCTTAGTGGCGATGATAATGACGAGGACAACGACGATGAAGAGCACTGTTGTCTGGATTTGTGTCCAGTTTGTTGTTGCCGTTGTCGCAGCCAATAGTTTGTTGAGCCAAACGTTGTGGCCAACAATAGACAACAATATCTACCGGTACTAACGATAAACATATATTATTATAATTAAATCAATAATATAATAGTATATACCTATTGCTGACTCTAAGTGATGCAAAATGAGACATTGATTGACAAAATTACAGTACAAACACACAGTTAGATAATTGTTTAAATACAGTATTATATGTATTTAGCTAACAAACAAACAGTTGAATCAAAAAACAACAACAAAAAATATTTTAATTTCAATTGTATTATAATATTATATCCAATATTAATAATCAGAATAGATATCCAGCAAAAATAATAATAATAATAATAACTGTCAAAATATAAATAATTGTGAAATCAATTTTCACTTTTTTTGAACAAACAAACAGACAAATTCAATTAGAGTTTTCAATTGAATGTTAACAATATATTATGTAATATACATACAAATTCACGCATTTAGTTATTCAATAAAATATTGTTTTATACTTTATTAACTAAGTTTCGGGGAAAAAAACGGGGGATAATAATGTGTTTATTGAAATAATATAAACTATCGCGAGATTTAATTATTTAAATAATAAATTATATATAGAATTGTTAGTTAAAATATGTTTTCATCAAATGTGTTGAATGATGGGGACTCCTAAATACGTGCATCGTTTTTAATATTGTTTGCACGTGCAGTACAACAGTAATGTATTAAATATATTATTATATGTGCGCGTGAAATAACTTTAATTTTATTTATTTGATTTTAAGTTGTTATAGACTAATATCTATTATATTTTTTTTATAGTTATTTTCCATTATCTACTATTCCATCCATCCCTTACCTGATCCCTCATAAAAACCAACCCACCCCACCCCACACAAACACCACCTAACCTCACACCCCACCCTTATATTTTTGTAATTAATACTGATTATAGATTATATATTCATAGTATTAATCAATAAATAAATAAATAAAATAAAATATATTGTTTATATAATAATAATATGTTTATTTAATTAATAATATATAATAATGTTTATACAATAATAATAATTATTATTTGGAAAAAATACAATTAATTTATAAACTATTTTTATGAAATTATGAATTTAATAAAATTTAATAATATATAAAAAAATATAATAATAAATAAATATTTGTTTTTTTTAAAATCAATTGTAAATTTAAATATTTGATAGATTTTTTTTATAAAAAAAATATGATAGTAAGCAAATGATGGCACCGGTAGTTATAATGATATGGTGTTCCTAAAAAAATTTTAGTAATTCATTTTTTTGGTTTTTTTTTTGGTACTGCTGTTGTTGGCTGTAGTCACCGCCGGTGTTTACGGGCGGCTGGACTGATTTTGGCCGATGGCTTAGGCGATTGTTTTGGCGTTTTTATGGCCTCCGCTACCGCTGCCGCCGAGTCCTTGTGTTTGTTATCACCAGATTTGGACCTTCTTCTCGAAATCAAACACACCAGACAACAGACTACTGCCAACACTACGACAATGACAACGATGACAATCCATAGCCATACCACACGGCCATCACTGTCATCGTCTTTACTATCAGCTACCGATTGCGTGTGACCATCAGTTTTGTCATTACTACTGTTACTTAATTCAGTCGACATTGATGTTGTAGTAGTAGTTGGACAGTCGACCGGATTATCAATCCTTAAGAAGTCTTTATGTATGTCTCGTTTGTCGTCCCGTTTCCTAACTGTTACATAACCATTGGCATCGACTGTCTTCGTATCGATAGTATAGACCAGATAATAGTCTTTGAAAAAGACATACAATTCGAAGCTATTGATTGTAAACATACTGTAGACCTGTTCATCAGTTTGTAGCCAATCCTTTACGGGTATCCATGGCTTACCGGTTCCTTTGCCGTCAATATGATCGGTACATATATAGCTACAGTCGACCATTGCCAGCCTATCGCCCATCAAAAAGTACAGATAAAGATTGTTGACGGCAAACATTGCGTTCACTGGTCGGCCACTTGTCCACTGGATATCGGCTTTCGATATACAATGCTCTTGGCTATAGTTTTGTAGTTTGCTGATTGTCCATCCGCCGCCCATAGCCTCCATGGGCAACAAACGGTGCATCCCATTAGCCAATCTAACTGTCCATATCCGATGTTCGTTAACATTAATACCGTTTCCGTTCGTTGTCTGTTGCGATTTATGACACGTAGTCTGTGCGTCAACATAGACGGCCGCATCGACAGCGGGCATCTCCGGCGGTAGTGGTTTGGCCGCGCTATCGCTAACACCATTGGGAAACGTGCATTCAGTTTGACGGAATGTATTGCATGTGAAATACCAATAGTGGGAACCGCTTGATATCCAAAACATTTTCTGTACGTCTGCATAGGCTATGGCATCGATGGTCGCCTGTTTGCACAATAGATTGTATGTCTCATCGGCGGCGGCGACGGCGGCACCGGTGTTATACATGTCTATAACGATGACCATCGATACTATCATCAATGCCAATGATGTCTTCATTGAATACACAGATAATACAGGTGCAGATATTATGCAGTACTGGATCTATATATATATTGGTTGAACGGTTTGTTATTTTTTGTTGGTTAAGAAATACAATCAATCAGTTTTCTATAAGTTAACTATAATTTTTTTTTTAAATTTCAATTATACGTTAAGTATTTTTTTCAATTTCTATTTAATTTTATTTAATTATTTTTAATAAAATGTTTATAATCGCGTGCTTCGACACCACTTGTTTTTTGTTTGTATGCAAAATATAATTATTACTATTATTAAACAAAAATATTTTGAAAAGATATATACAGTATATAAAGATTTTGTTTTAAAAAAAATATCGATTTATTATCGGCCAGTCCTTGAAGTGTATGTCTATATAAAAGTCTTGAACTAAATGTCCACTGATTATCATTTGATGGCAACAATAAAGTCTTTAGATGATCTTCAATACATTATTATCATATATTTTCAATAACAATAATAAATAATATATATATATATATATTGTATATAACTCGCACTTCAATTAAATGTATTATATAAATATTTATAACAACATTATTATAATAATAAATTGTTGACTTTTTTTTATATATTTATTCTGTTATTAATACACGCGAGTTATTTCAAATGATATAATAATAATAATTTAAAAAATTTTATATAGATTTTAATGTTAAGTATGAATAAACTAATAGCACTGATATGTAATAAAAGGTATGGTTTTTTAAAATTATTATTAGTTTAAGGAAAAATTATTATTATTATTATTATTACAGGAGCTCACAATTTGTCACATTTATTGCCGCCTATCATGTGTTAGACGATAGCCGACAATCATCTCGTAATCATCGATATCATAGTAACCACTGGTGGTCACCGTCGCCGTCGACATACCGTTACCCGGCAGCAGCAGTAGCCTATAGAAAGCCAATGAGATGGGCTCTAATGCAAAACAACAACAACAGCTTGAATATCAACGATTTGGTCAAACAGTGTCAACCATTTATCGTAACGGTATGTCAAACAAGTCAGTTAGACAGTTGGATAATCACTGGCCAGAGCACTGGTGTTATTGTCGACAATATCCAGGGTTTGATTGTGACCAACAATCACTGTGTTATGGGTTCGGATATTATGCGCATTTACTTTCATCAGCCGCCAGACAGCCAACTAACCTATGATCAAGTGTTTGTCGATCATCCAAAACACGATGTCATCAAAGATATTGTTGGCCATGTAGTCTATACGGAACCCTATCGTGATCTGGCACTCATACAGTTGCCTCCAGTCAGACCCGGAGTGTTAGTCCAGGCTCTGTTCGACACGAACTGCGAATCGGGTGATCCAATCCTGACGATTGCTACCTATACGGATCGGGTGGAAGCAGTCGACGGTCTTATAGTTGATCCGCAAGTTCCCGAAATTTGTCAGCAATTTTTTATGTACAGTACTGGTGTCACTCAAAACGATAGTGTCTGCCAACACACCGGGTTCTGTAGAGGAGGCTATTCGGGCAGTCCAATGGTTAACGCCAATGGCCATGTAGTGGCCATTCACAATGTCGGTACACCCAACTCATCGTGTAGTGGTACGGGATTGAATGCCAAAGCTGTTTTGGGTATGTCTGGGTGTAAATGGTTTGGTTGGTTAGTTGATTAGTTAAATGTGAAAATAAAAATTGTTTTTTGTTTTCGTGTGTTTGTGTGTGTGTTTAGATTTTATAGCTAAAGGCAAACAGTTTATGGCCACAAATAGACAGTTAGCTAATACGGAAAGGGAACAGTCATATAGTAATAGATATCATAAAAAACTATTGGGACTCATATTGGAAGGCAATGTTATCAGAGAATATTCTATGGCATCACAGGAAGTCAGGTATGTTCTCTACCACTACCGTCACCATCACTATCACAAACATATACATGTTTTTTAATTTTGTTTAAGTATTTTTTCATTAATTTTTTGTATTAATTTTTATTTGTATTTTTAAAAGAAATAATTTGTCTATCGGTGACACAATTCAGGCCATCAATGGTAACCCGTGTACAACATTTGTAGCATTTGTAGACCAACTTCAAGCAGTACCCGATAATCAAACGGTTACGCTAACCGTTTTACGAAATGGTTTGGACCCACCTATAGAAGTTCAGGTCACACCAGTTGTCATTAATAGGTTTACTCTTTAAATATTTATACATAATTTATATACCGTACAGTATATTATAAATGCCATCAAATATAATATTCATAATTACTTATAGTTATTAACAATTATTTAATGTTTTATAATTTGTATTTTATTAATAAATTTCTATTAAATTTTTCATATATTATCATGTATTTTATGAAAAATATTAACACAAAAAAAACAAATAAATAATTGTAATTTAATTAATATTTTTTAAAAAATAAGTTTCAAATTATTTTTTTAGTTCAAACAAACAGACAAACAAAAAAAGTGATAAAATAGTATTTTTTATTTAAATATTATTTATTATTTTCTATACAATTATATAAATGTTATAAATGAAATTAGTTTTTAAAATTAATAAAACTATAAAAATTAAACCAAATTTTTATTAAGATTGGCCACTCTGTTCAATATCAGTGAATTTTGTGGATCGGCTACAATGGGTTCGTTGACATTGATGGTCATTGACGGGTGATAGTCCAGTGCCCGATACAGATCATCTAACGATTGGACGCGTATATGATTAATATGTGTTATAATATCGTATCGTTTTACCAAATATAGGTCCGAAACTCTGATTAAATACAGTATTACAATAGATTATTTATATACCGTTATACAAATAATTAAATGCAATTTAGATAGTTTGGGAATAGGGGGTGGAAATGGGGTTTGTCTAAACAGTTGTCACTAATCACTAATACATACACTGGTAACTCAATCAATAGCCAGGCCTCTAGTTCGCCAACAACATTGACAATCATAATACCGCTATAGTTGGCCAGTCTATCGACAGGTATACCCAGATTGTTGTAATACTGTTGATTTGTGTGGTCATACCAGCAAATTACAAAACCATAGGATCTCATTGCAAAGTCAATGGTTTGGTTAGCAAAATCTAATTTTATAACAAACAAAACAAAAATACAATTAATTCAAAAAAAAAATTATATATAACAAACAAAACAAAAAAAAGAGTTTACAATCGATATAATATCTATCCAAACACAGGGAATAGTTTGCTTCGACAATATTGGTGGTTAGGCCTACAAGATTGCCATCACTGTCGACAACTGGACAGCCAGGACTGTTGGCATAGGCATTGTATTGTAGATAATTGATATCAGTGTTTGTGCCGTTAAGAGAGACTTGAATCGGCCGAACGGCTGCGACAATACCTTCGCAAACCTGCCGATTCTGGCCAATACCGTCCGATTTAGATGACGTGTCCACTGTATAGACAACCGAACCGATTGTATCCATTGGTAATTGTGTCCATCGATCGGATATGTTTGGCCACTTTGTATTCGGATCAGAATTTTGGATTTTCAGTGCACACAGATTCAGATACCTATCCCTGTAGACTATCTGTGCCTCTACTTCCTGGCCATTCGACATACAGACCATTGTTTTATTGGTTATATCCAAATCCATATTAGTAGTAATTATCAAACCGCTGTCATTGTAGATAATACCCGAACACTTAAAGAAAGTACATTTATAATTGGCCGGTTGGTTGTTGGCATCGGTATGCAATGGTAACGGTCTAATGCTGACAAACGGTGCAAACCAGTCGCCGGTAGTAGCAAACGGCTCCGACTCGCTATTAGATAGTAGTGTGTGTCTCAGTAGTCCCGATTTCGGTGATTCAATGGTTGGCCATAATCTTAACGGTAACCAAAATAACGATAAGCAATGTTGTCTAATATTATGTCCAGTTTGTTGTTGTTGTTGTCGTTGTTGAAGCCAACCGTTTATAGAGCCAACCGTTGATGTTGTTATTGTTGTTGTCAATAATAATAAGCAATATCTACCAGTGCCCATACATACATACATACATATAAATTATTTAAAGTATTTATTGTTTAATTTAAATTTATTTTCATATATCAAATACCTTTTAATGAATACAAATGAAGTAAAACAAGACATTTATTACAATTAGATATACAACTTATACAAGAAAATTATTTATTTATTTTTTTTTTAACTATTGAGTTATAAATATTGTCGTAAACTTGTTTTAATATACTATATTAACAATTATAATTAATATCTAAATTCTGTCAAAATGTATTAAATATGATATAAAAATATTATTAATATAATAAAGTGTTGACTAATTAGTAATTTAAAAAAAACTAAATTAATATTATTAGAAATACACGCGAGTTATTATAATTAATTAATAATAACAATAGATATTTTTTTATTATAGAAATAAAACATTTAAATAGATTTATTAATTAGATTTTACTGTTAAAACTATGTATAAACTAATAGGACTGGTATTTAATAAAAGGTAAGGTTTTTAGTCAATTTTATTATACAAATATTTATTATTATTATAGGAGCTCACAATTGGTCGCATTTATTACCGCGTATCGTGTGTTTTACAATAGCTGGCAGTCATCGGATAATCATCGATATCATAGTAGCCACTGGTGGTCGACAAACAGTTACCCGACAGCAGCAGTAGCCTATAGAAAACCAATGAGATGGGCTCTAATGCAAAACAACAACTACAACAGCTTGAATACTAACGATCTGGTCAAACAGTGTCAACCATTTATCGTAACGGTATGTCAAACAAGTCAATTGGACAGTTGGATAAACACTGACCAAAGTACTGGTGTTATTGTCGACAATGTTGAGGGTTTGATTGTGACCAACAATCATTGTGTGTTGGGATCGGATATTATACGTATTTACGTACATCAGCCGCCAGACAGACCACTAACCTATGATCAAGTGTTTGTCGATCATCCACGACATGATGTCGTCGAAGATATTGTTGGCCGAGTAGTCTATACGGAACCCTATCGTGCACTGGCTCTCATACAATTGCCACCAATCAAACCGGGTGTGTTAGCCCAGGCTGTGTTTGACACGGACTGCGAACCGGGCGATCCAGTCCTGACGATTGCTGCCTATACGGATCGAGTGGAAACCGTCGACGGCGTTATAGTTGATCCGCAAATTCCAGAAATCTGTAGCAGATTTTTTATGTCCAGTAGCGGTGTCTGTCCAACCGATAGTTTTGGCCAGCACACCGGGTTCTGTAGAATAGTCTATTCGGGTAGTCCAGTGGTCAAAACAGCCAATGGCCAAGTAGTGGCCATTCACAATGTCGGTTCACAGAACTCATCGTCTGATAGTATAGGACTAAAAGCCAAAGCTGTTTTAGGTAAGTCATATACACTCTAGGATATACTGTAGGTGTAAATGGTTTGTTTGGTTAAAATAATGAATGTGAAAACTAAATACTCCTATTATTATTGTTGTTGTGATTTTGTATTTAGATTTTATAGCTAAAGGCAAACAGTTTATGGCCACAAATAGACAGTTAGCTAATACGGAAAGGGAACAGTCATATAGTAATAGATATCATAAAAAACTATTGGGACTCATATTGGAAGGCAATGTTATCAGAGAATATTCTATGGCATCACATGAAGTCAGGTATGTCCTCCACCACTACCGTCACCATTACTAACACATACATAACTTAATGTTTTTAATTTTGTTTGAGTATTTTTATCATTAATTATATTAATTGTTATTTTTAAAAGAAACAATTTGTCTATCGGTGACACAATTCAGGCCATCAATGGTAACCCGTGTACAACATATGTAGCATTTGTAGACCAACTTCAAGCAGTACCCGATAATCAAACGGTTACGCTAACCGTTTTACGAAATGGTTTGGACCCACCTATAGAAGTTCAGGTCACACCAGTTGTCATTAATAGGTTTACTCTTTAAATGTCTACACATTTATTAATATATAAATTTCATAAAATATAATTATTAATATTAGTATTATAATGTTACAACAATTATTTGCTGTTATTATAAATATTGAATCCAATTTTTTTCATAACTATTAATATTATATTATTTTTTGTAATCTTAAATATTTTATGTTTATTATCAGTATTTGATTAATAATTTTTTTTCCTAAAATAATTGTAATTTTATGAATATAATAAATTTTATTGGAAAAAATAGTATAAAATTGGAATTATATTTTTATTTAAATATTAATATTAGTTGTTATTTTTGTTGTTGTATACAATTATATAAATTCTAAAAAAATAAATTTGTTATAATAATTTTTTAGGAAAAATAATAAAACTTAAACTTAAACTAAATATTTGTCCAGATAGGCAACTTTGGTTAATACCCGTGAATTTTGTGGATCGGCTAGAATGGGTTCGTTGACATTGATGGTCATTGACGGGTGATAGTCCAGTGCCCGATACAGATCATCTAACGATTGAACACGTATATGATTAATATGTGTAATAATATCGTATTGTTGTACCAAATATAGGGCCGAATTTCTGAATTATACAGTTTTAATAGATTATTAGATATCGACAAAATAATTAGTTAGTGGTTAGTGGTGTTGGGATGAATGGATGGATAAACATAGTTTAAAATCATTATACATACGCTGGTAAGGTATTCAACTGCCAGCCCTCGAGTTCACCGACAACGTTAACAATCATAATACCGCTATAGTTGGCCAGTCTATCGACAGGTATACCCAGATTGTTGTAATACTGTTGATTTGTGTGGTCATACCAGCAAATTACAAAACCATAGGATCTCATTTCAAAGTCAATGGTTTGGTTAGCAAAATCTGGTTTCAACAAACAAACAAACAGACAAAATAAAATACACACAAAAAACAAATGTTAAATACAATTAATTCAACAAAAATATATATCAAAAAAATTAGTTTACAATCAATGTAAGTTCTATTCAAACACAGGGAACAGTTTGGTTCGGCCATATTGGTGGTTAGGCCTACAAGATTGCCATCACTGTCGACAACTGGACAACCAGAACTGTAGGCATAGGCAGTGTATTGTAAATAATTGATATCAATGTTTCCGCCGTTGAGCAGTATTGGAATCGGCCGAACGGCAGCAACAATACCTTCGGTCACCTGTCGATTCTGGCCAATACCGTCCGATTTAGACGACGTGTCTACTGTATAGACAACTGTGCCGACTGTTTCCATCGGTAATTGTGTCCATCGATTGGATATGTTTGGCCACTTTGTATTCGGATCGGAATTTTGGATTTTCAGTGCACACAGATTCAGATTGCTATCCCTGTAGACTATCTCTGCCTCTACTTCCTGGCCATTTGACATACAAACCATTGTTTTATTAGTTATTTCCAGATTAGTATTAGCAGTGATTATCAAACCGCTTTCATTGTAGATAATGCCCGAACACTTAAAGAATGTACACTTATAATTGGCCGGTTGGTTGTTGGCATCGGTATGCAGTGGTAGGGGTCTAATGGTTACAAACGGTGCAAACCAGTCGCCGGTAGTAGCAAACGGCTCGGGATCGCCATTGGCCAGTAGTGCATCACGGAGTAGTACCACCGCTTTCGGCGATTCAATGGTTGACCATAATCTCAATGGTGACGACAACAACGATAAACACTGATGTCTGGATTTGTGTCCAGTTTGTTGTTGGTGTTGTTGTTGTCGTTGATGCCAATAGTTTGCTGCGCCAACCGTTGCCAATAATAATGAACAATATCTACCGGAGCCCACACACACACACACACATAAATATTATATAATCTAAAGTATTTATTGTTTTATTTATCTATTTTTTTTATAAAAAAAAATATCTCAAATACCTTTTGCTGATTACCAATGATGAAGTAAAACAAGACATTTATTACTACACAGTTATACAGTTTTTTTTGTCTAATAAAATATACGGATTTATATATATATACAGTATATATGTTTATCACATCACACATAATACTAATTATATCAGAAATTAATTAATTCAAATAATACTATTCACGTGTATTCACTCGTGTATTATAGCAACTATTAGAGCGCGCGTGAGTTATACTATAATTGACTAATAATTGTTACTAAAAAAACATAATTCAAATTCCAATCAAACGGAAGAATTACAACAAAAAAACAAAAAATTCAGTTTATTTTTTTGTGGTTAGTTTTCCATCAAAAACAGACCAACCATTTGTTACCACAAAAAGAAGTAGAAGAAGAAGAAGGAGAAGACAAAAGACATTTATATTATATACAACAACTACTACTATCACCACTACTTGAAAGCCACTGAAAAGAGGAGATACAGTAGATAGAGATAGACATCACAGGACACAGATCTCAACCTTAACCACTCCATCACAGACATACATACACACCAGACAAATGGGTTGTTGTGGATCAAAGCCAGAGGAAGAACAGCCACCGCCAGAGGAACAGCCGGCCCCGGCCAGTGAAGAGAAGCCGGCGTCGCAGACACAGGAATCGGCGTCGGCTACCGGCAGCAAAGTGGGCGAAGAAGGCGTCGACAGCAAAGTATTGGGTGCGCCAACCGGTTCGGCTGTCGGCTCAAAAGCCGGTTCGGGTACCGGCTCGAAAACGGGCAGCAAAGTCGGTTCGTCGGTGTCGGGTACAGGTGGCGCCGGATCGTCGGCTATGGGATCGTCGATATCAGGTACCGGATCGGCGCTGTCCAGCAGCGGCGGCAGCAGTGCTGTCGGTTCGTCGCTAAGTTCTTCGGGCGGTTCGTCCACATCGAAGGCCGGCGGCTCGCAGGCTGGCTCGTCGTTAGGGGGATCGTCGACCGGTTCGACACTGATATCGTCGCGTACCGGATCCAAGATCAAAGCCGGTTCAGAAACGGCGGCCAGCGGCTCAAAGACCGGCTCGCAGACCGGCTCGAAAACTGGATCACAGACCGGCGGCTCGAAGACTGGGTCACAGTTAGGCGCTTCGGGTTCGAAGGCCGCAGGTTCGCAGACCGCGGCCGCCGCTAGCGGTTCAAAGACTGGCGGTTCGCAGACCGGATCGAAGACCGGATCGAAAACTGGCGAAAAGCCTGGCAGCGCCACCGGTTCCAAGACTGGCGATACCGGCGGAAAACCGTCGTCGAAGACGGCGTCGGCCGACGAAAAGCCGCCGTCAAAGTCCGGTTCGAAGACTGATTCAAATGAAAAGACCGGTTCGAAGACTGGCAGCGGTTCCAAAACAGGCGCTTAAATTGTCAAAGAAAATGATGTCAAAAGACGAAGATTTAGAAGAAGAAGAAGAAGAGAACCACTGATTGAACAGAATATTTGTTTTTGTAATTTTGTTTTGTATATCTTCTCTTCATTTTCATCTGTTTTCTTCAAAATACAAATATTTTTTAATATTATAAATAAAATTATTTCTAAAAAAAAAAATTTCATTCAAATTATTATTTATTTTAGTTATTTTTGTGGTTATTATTTGATTTTTGTTTTGTTTTTTTCAAAATCCTAAGAAATTTGTTTAAATAAATATCAATCAAATTCTTTGTTATTTTTATTACATTTATTACTAAATTATTTAAACATTTTTGATGTTATTGTTATTTATTATGTTTGAAATAAAACATTGTTTTATATATTTTGAAATACACATACATTTAATATAAATTTATTTCAATTAAAAAACAAATAAATTATTTTTTTATTTGTCTGTCTGTCTGTCTGTTTATTTGTTTAATTGTGTACAACAACAAAAAATATCTGATAATATCAATGTTTATCTAATAATATAATAATTAGTGTATTGATTAATAATTTTTTATACTCTATTAAATAGTTGTTATAATAGTTGCTAAAAAACGTCAAATAGTTGTTAAAATAGTTATTGAAATAGTTATTTATTTTCTTATAAATATTTCAACTGATATATAATTCACTTGTTTTCAGCATATTTACAAAAATGATTTATATAAATAAACTAATTATTTCTATTGTTAAAAAAGTAATATGAGTTGATAACAGTTTACACATTTTATATAATTTATATAACTATTACTGTACTTTTTGTTTTTACATATATTTGAGCAATATTTTACAATTTAATGCTTATATTTTTCAAAATAAATGAAATAGTTATTTATAAGTTTTTATAGTTGCTAACCTAACAAATAGTTATTTATAGTTATAATAAAATTTCGGAAATAGCGTCCACTGGTCAACTTCGGTGGACATACTAAGTCCCAGTTATAAGCGTTAAGCCGACAAAATAATTTATTTAGTTGAAAATCAAGACACTAATAATAATAGTAGAAATAAATTTTTGTTTAAAAATTATTTTAATATACATAAAAATCAATACTTTTTCTAGAATATATGTAAAAAAAGTATATTTTATTTATTTATTTTTAATTAAGTATTATATTAATTTTAGTATTTATTTATATATATATGATATTTACAGATTCAATTTTAATTTATAAATTATGTTTAAATAATTGTTTTTTAAATATATAAACATTTTTATATTCAATATTATATTGATGTATTAATCAGCTATAATAATCATTATTACTATCAATGTGTTTGATATTTGCAATCTCTAGTGTACAATAAGTACTGGTATATACTATTAGATGATGTCGGCTACCGGTGCCCGTCAACGATGATGATGATGATAGCGATGGCGATGATGATGGCTGCTGTTGGCCGGGAAAGTCATATTCAAATTGGTCGACTTGTGAGCTATAGTTGATATCATAGCCCTGTCCTGATTTGCCAATTTCTATGCAAACTATAAATAATAATTTTAAAAAAAAATAAAATAATATTAGAAACAACTCAACAACAAATAATTATAAATAATATACAAATGTTAGTAATAGTGTATTAAAAAATAAAAATATATTAGTATTAAAATGAAATTAATTATTTATCATTGTTTGCATTTATAATTTCTAGTATTGTTATTATTATTATTATTTTGTTGTATTTATTTAAATTTCAAATTTCAAAAATAGCATCTAATTATTTACATTTACAGTACTATTACTATTATACAATCAAAAAATATCATTAATAATCAAAAAATTGAATCAATCAATGAAATCAGTCATTAATCAACAATAATATTTGGAGCCGATCTATCTTGTAAGCACCGTTTTTTAAATTATTTACACGCGCTATTGTTTCAATCATTTTAATTGTATTTCACGCGATATTTACACGTATTTTTATAATTAATAACTTAAATAAGTTTAAGCAAAAATAAGATCATTTTCTATTTAACTAACCTAACCTATTTACACAAACGTTAACTTAACCTAATCTATTGTATTAGTGTTCGCTCCGTTACCTAACCTGGTGTTCGGACCGCAACCTTAACCTAATTATAATGGTATTATACAAATGTATTATATGATTACTGTATAATAGTAATAGTATCAAAAGCGCGTGAAATATAATTAAAATGATTGAAACAATAGCGCGTGTAAATAATTTAAAAAACGGTGCTTACAACATAGATTTTAGCCTAATATATATATAAAATTTAATTTATATTATTTAAAAAAATTCAAATATTTATTGAACGTTAGGTTTTTTTAGAGTTAAATTTTGTTAACTTAAATATATTTCTAAAAATGTCTACAAATGATAACAAATATGATCGGACACAACAACAACAACAGGACAAACAGTCAATGAGTGGTTGGTCTGCAGTCAAACAAGTGGTCAAACGGTATACAACACGCAGTTACCGTTGGCCAGCATTTATGATCGGCGGGTCCATAGTGTTTGGTTTGTTTGGCAATCAAATTTATAAAGATTTGAATAGTTTTGAAACTCGTAATACCGGTGCCGATAACAAAACTAAATGATAAAACACATACACTATCCTATCATACTTGTCATATATATATATATATATATATATATAGAGGACCATATTTTTTAGGGAAAATTAGTTTTTTTAAATGTACATAAAAAATGCTATTATTAATAATAATAATATTATTATTATTATTTTGCTAATTAATACAAAATAGTGTAATTTACAACAACAACAAAAAGTTTTGAAAATTATTATAATAAACTCACAAACAAAAAAAAACATTTACTTAATATTGTATAAAATGTTATTATTATTATTATTACAGTTTAAGAATATACTGTTTGATCATAATTTATAAATTTAATTTTTTTAAACTAAAGTAAAAATTTGGTTATTATATTTTTAATTACTTACACGACATAACTGTGCGTTTAACGACAACACCAGTTAATGCATTTACGACAATATTGATGATATTTATTTTATATCTTAAAATCATCTTTTTATGGTATATTTATCAATAGATTTATAAAATTTATAAATCACACAACAATATTGTTTAAAAAACAGTAGATGATGATGATGATGAGGGACAGTTAGCCAAATATTATAACTAAATATATATAATATAATATAAACAAATACTGTAGTCTATTGTTTAACATACAAATAATAATTAATAAATAAATATAATTTTATAATTTAGTTTATGAATTGTTTAATTTATTAAAGGTATTTAAATAGATGAGATAACTCTAATAACTTACAAAAAATTAATTGTTTATTTTTCACATGACTTTACCACTAAATCAATATACTTGTAATATAATTGATTGCATTATAAGTTTCAATAGTTTTTTTTAAGTTTTTCATATGAATCCTAAGTCTATTATTAATAATAATAATAATTTATCATAATTTTTGATAAAAAACATTAGGAAATAAAAAAAAGTACTAAAAAATATTTCACTTATTTCTATTTAAAAAATTATTATACTTTTAAGTTATCAAATATTATTTATAATCAATTATGTTATTAAAGTCATTATAAAAGTTTTCTATTAATTAAATTATTAATTTTTAAAAAAAATAATACTTAAACTTCAAACTATAAAGCCATTTAATTTATATATTAATTAATTAATTGAAATATTTTGAAATATTTTAATCACACATTTATTAAGCTAATCAAATAATATAAGTTATAAAAATCAAAACTACTTAATAAATAAAATGATTTTGATAACAATATTTATTGATATTTATTATTACTAAATAAAAATTTTTGTTTGATAGCATTGAACTTGAAATATTAATGTTTAAATAATATACAGTTATAATTGACATTATCATCAAATTGATTGCTTATTTTTAGTGAAACTTCAATAGAAATATTATAATAATAAGAAATTAATTGAGAAATTAACGATAGGATTAAAAACAATATTTATTTATATATTTTTTAGATAAATAACAAAATGTTGAAACATTTATTTACAACTTTGTTTGACTTTAGTCAATGAGATTATAAATATATATCAATAAAATTAATCAAATATAGTTAACATAATTAACAGTATATTAATTTATCAAACAAATTAATATTTATTAATATTTAACTTAAAATTAAATAAAATAAACTAGAATTTTGTTAATAATATTAAATCTTTTAAAAAAATGTTAGCATAAAATACAATTAATTACTTTTTTTTTAAATATAGATTACTAAAAATAATTAAATAATAATAATTTTTAACAATTAATTGTAGTCTTTATAATTTATTTTTTACTAAATTATAATAATTTTTGAAAAAAAACAAAAATCACTAAAATTTTGAAGAAAAAAACAGCATTTAATTGTTAAGCAAATGGATTAAACAGAAAAAAACTTGATTTAAAAAACATTTACAAAATTATACATATTTTGATAAAAAAATATCAAAATATTAGTTTTAAAAAACAATTTATACACTAAGCTATGCCTCACCGAAAACGATCGCATCGTTGGTGGAAAAACCCGAACCCACATATCAAAGGTCGTACTGGCCATCAAAGAGGTCGACCTAATCTCAAATGGGGTCAAAACTTACCGGACGTACTTGAAGGCAATGCCGATGCCGACGTACAGGAGCTGACAGTACAGTTTAGGGCACAATTGCATGAATATAGACGACGACTATACGATTTGGACTATTCAACAGATCCCGAGTACCAACAACAACACCAGCACCGGTACTATGGCCTATGCAACGAACTGTCTGTACTACTCGATAGACATCTAACTGTGCTTAGCTCGACGGACGTCGGACGCCGTGCAGTACAAGAGTGTCAACAGTTGATCGCCGATATTGAAGGTCTGATGCCGGTCAACGATCGGCTGATACGACAGTGGAACTACCAGTTAGGTCTGGCCAAACAGTATCGGCAACAGGCTTTCCAGGCGTGTAGAGCCATCCGATCCGACTTTGATCGGCAACATTCGGTGTACATTAGTTATCCGAATGCACACTATTCGGTCGATTTGCCCGGTCTTGGAGGAGGACACGCCGAGGCCAACCCCGAAAATCCAGATGTCTATCGGGTGAAGTTCTATAAGCGCTATATCGTACAGCAGACAAACAATGGCCGAATCGATTGGTGCGGCTATATGGCTTTTCCGGCCGCTCCCGGCCACAGTCTAACATGTCCAGTGGATCAGCGATTGCATCTATGGTTTCGTCTAAAGAAACCTATCTATCGACTTCACGGTCAGGTTGTGTACGACAACCAGCAGATCTGGGTATACGCCAATCGGCAGCCGTACGCCGCCGCCGCAGCCGATCAACAACCGCCTAATCTTGAAACTGTACAACCGTCTGACGAAATGGTTCCCTACAACAACAATGGCTACCTACTAGCTGGCCAATCGGTTAAGTTTGTTGGCCAGAGTTTCTATGTAATGGCCGAAAGTACATTCCAACAGTTTCTGGCCAATCGTGACCAATTTATCGGGCGTTTTAGAACACTGGAGCGACACTGGCTGGACAAATGTAACGGTACGGATCTAGTTTGTAAACAATTGTGGGAACGATACGAACGGGAACAGTTGGGCAGCGAAGATGCACCATTGGCTCCGTTATACTACAATTATGACGAGGTATGGCAAAAGATTGAGGCCGAGTGTCGGGCGATTAAGAAAAGAATTGAAGAGGAAATCCTAAGCATATCGGATATTATTAAAAAGTATACACAACAGGGAGGGGATGGTGTTATCATACCGGATCGTATCGCTGCCGGTGCCGGTCAATAATTCATATATAAATAGTGTGTGTGTGTGTGTGTGTGTGTGTGTGTGTGTGTGTGTGTGTGTGTGTGTGTGTGTGTGTGTGTGTGTGTGTGTGTGTGTGTGTGTCTGTGTATTTAGAGACTGTATATACCGTATATTGATAGCAAATTAATATAAGTAATTATAAATATTGAATAGTTTTTTTGTAAGTTATTATTTGATAATAAGTCTACTAATTATTAAATATTATAGGTTTTTACTTGTTTACCCCCATCCCCTTATCCCCATCAAATATATATACTGTATATACTGTATAGAAACTACAGTACAATTAATTTTCTTTTAATTTGCTTTTTATTTCAATTTAAAGAAAATTAGATGACTGTATACTTTCGGAAAGGTAGCGAAACGGTATGTATAAGCCATGTGTGTGTATTGTAATTAACTGACATATAATTGATTTTTGACTTTTTTTTGATTAACAGTTTTTGATTTATTGAAAAATTTCAATAGAAAATACATAAATTATTGTTTAGGATTACTATTAATGTTTAGAATTCACTAAAAAACAATTAAACAGAAATATAGATAACGAAAAAATTGAAATTTTTAACAATTAATTGTTGTTTCTATAAAAACAAAACTAAAATTTTTTATGAAAATTATTTTAATTTTATTTAAGCAAAAAAAATCGTAAAATTTATTTTTAAAAGTTTTTTAAATTCTGACAACAAAAAAAATATGTAAATTATTTCATTGACAGAAATAAACCATCAATTCATACATCAATTCAAGCAATGCCTCACCGAAAACGATCGCATCGTTGGTGGAAAAATCCGAACCCACATATCAAAGGTCGAACTGGCCATCAAAGAGGTCGACCCAATCTCAAATGGGGTCGAAACTTACCGGACGTCGGCACTAAAGGCAATGTCGCTGCAGTACCAGTCGTACCGCAGCTGACTGTACCTGAGTTTCGGTCGCAATTGCATGACTATAGACGACGACTATACGATTTGGACTATTCAACTGATCCCCAGTACCAGCAACAACACGGGCACCAGTACTATGGTCTGTGCAACGAACTGTCCGTACTATTGGAACGACATCTGACAGAGTTTAGCTCAACCGATGACGGACGCCGTGCCGTACAAGAGTGTCAACGGCTGATCGCAGATATTGTCGATTTGATGACTCCGGACGATCAACTGTTGTTTAAATGGGAACAACAGTTGGTACGGGCCCAGCACTATCAGGAACAGGCACCCGAAGCATTCGATGATCTACGAGCCGTATTTCGGCCGGAAAGTATTATGGCCCTTACGTTTCCCAATCCAGTATTTCCGGTCAGACTACCTGGTCTGGCAGGTCAAGCCGGATCCGATCCGGCTAATCCACATATGTTTCCCGTACGTATCTATCATCGCACTACCATATCGACGGTCAACGACACTGATATCTATTGGCACGGCTATGCAATTTTTCCGGCCCTACCCGGTCACCCACTGATATGTCCACGGGATCATCGATTGCATCTATGGTTTCGTTTCAATCAACCCCTACAAGTGGGTCCGCATAATGAAATCAATTATCCCACTCAGGATATCAGTGTACACGCCAGTCGCCAGCCGTACACCTTACAGCCAGCTGGCCAACCACCCAACTTGGAAACCCTGACACCTGGCACCGACACTGTTCCCTACGACAACAATGGCCGACTCGGTGGCCAACCGGTAACTTTTTTGGGTCCAATTTTCTATGTAATGGCCGAAAGCGATTTCCAATATGTTTATGCCAATCATCAACAGCGTGTCGACCGTGTACGTGCACTTGCAAACCAATGTGACGGTGCTCGGCTAGTTTGTATGCAATTGTGGGAACGTTATGAACGAGAAAGGTATAACGAGAGTCCAGAGACAATGATAGACTATGAAGACCAGGAGCCAAACCCATTACGGGAAAGGTATGACCAGATTTGCCAACAGATTGAAAGCATTTGCAACACAATTAGGACAACATTAGAGACGGAATATCTGCCGCCCCTTAACACTATTATAAATAGATATACCCAACCGTACCATAACGGCATTATTATATCGGATATATAGGTCCCGGTGCGCCTATCAATAGGGAAAACAATTACTCAGACAATTATCATATTTACTGTAGCAGTCAATACAGTAGATAAATACAGATTTTTAGAGATCTAGTAGTTTTGTTAACTGTTTGTTAAATTATTATTAAAATAGTTTATTAATTATTAGTTATTATTGATTAATAGTTTTGTTTGTTTTTTTTTCTTGTGAGTTATTATTTGATAATAAGTCTCCTAATTATTAAATATTATAGTTTATTACATGTTTGGCCACCTCTTAACCCACGCCAAAAATATTAAAAATATATATTTGTTATTAATTTTTTTTTAAATTTGTTTTTTCTATTTAAGGAAATTGGATGACATGAGCTTAATTACAACATACCGTCACCCCTTAGCAGTCAAATAAATTAAGGACTAACATACCTACAAAAAAAATAATAATTAAATACTCATAGAAATCATGGTAAGCTATAAAAAAAAATTTTGTATCAAAATTATGTTTATTTTTATATTTTTTTAAATAATAAAAATAAATTAATCAAAACACTGTTAAAAGCCCTGTGTGACCGCGCACAGGTATATAATTATATAATAATTATTATAGATATAATATATAAGAGTTGACAGTTTAAAGGGCGAACCGGATGTTTTTTTTTAGAAAAAATAATTAATAGATAATATAAAGTTATTAAGTATTAAATAATTTTAGTGTATTATACTATTATACAGTAGTATTAAAATCAATAACAACAACAAAAATTATTTATAAATTATTTATTTATTTATTTATATTAACTTAGACTATGGTTAACGATTTTTTATTAGTTTTTTTTGTTGTTGTTGTTGTTGAATAAATTTAGGTTTTATTATTAAATTAGCATCAATAAAATTTTTTAAAATTTAACTGTCAAACTATCTATTTTGTTGCTGCTATTATTTACTTTATTATATTATTATTATATACTATTAAAATGTTTTATCTATCTATTAATTTTTTGTTTTTTAATAACTCACAAAAATTAATTTCAAGTCACAACAAAAAATAAAAATAAATAAAAATTATGTACAAATTGACAAACTTGAGGCCCTCTATATAATAATAATAATAATCATATTTATTGATTTTATTTTATTTTTTTCAAATATTTAATATTTGCATTGCCTGTACATTATTGTCAATTATTAAATTATAATTACCCGGATAAGATTAGCCAAACATGTGCTATTGTTAACAACATATACACAAAAAAATTACCTTGTATTTTTTACCTTGTTTATTATTATTATTATACAGTAATTATAATATTGTATCAAATTCCTAATCAAACTATTTATTAAACTATTTATTTTTTCAAAATATTTAATGTAATTTATTGTATTTAAATATAATTTTTTTATTTACAATTTATAAATTATTTATTTATTTATTTAACTGTATGTACAGTACTAAATTAAATACAGTATAAGTTTAATGTACATGTACAATTTATAGTTTATTAATTGATAACAATAAGAGAAATTTTTAAGTACTTAAATAATATAATAATAATACTTATATGAGGAGATATCAATAATTTTATTATTTGATAAAATACAACAAAAAAATTACTTTCATACTGTCTAATATCAGTATAAATTTATTAATAAATGTACAGTTATTATTAGCAAAAAATAATATATTGATTTTTATTGTGTATATATTTCCTTAAAATAAGTACTTCAAAAAATAAATAAATTACTAAAAATTAAATAACTAAAGTGAAAGTCTAGGATTTTTAACAATAAAAAAATAAAAATAAATCCAACAATAATTAAAACACTAAATTAAAAAGCAATTGTCATAAATACTACACTAATTACTACTACTACTACTACTACTACTACTACTACTACTACTACTACTACTACTACTACTACTACTACTACTACTACTACTACTACTTATAATAAAATAACTACAAATAAAGTACAGTATTTTATTTATTTATTTATTTTTAATTATAAATCATTTAAATAATAATACTATATATACTGTATAGTATATATATATATATATTTAAAAATGTATTTATGTTGTTTTTTCTAACTATTAATTATTATTAGTATTATTATTATTATCTAGATAAAACCACAATTAAATTATTGTTGATTGACTTATTTAAATTTAATATAAATAGTTTGTTTGATTGATTGATTAAACATTGAATGGCAACCAAAAAACATCGGTTTAAGTTTGGTTTTGAGGCCAGCGATGATGTCGATCCCGTAGTTGTCCGGCACATGTATATTACGTGCGAAAAATATGTCTATACTATTATATTGCTATACATACAGTTGTCATTTGTATGTTTTTTTTTTGAAAACAAAACAGAAAAAAATATTTATATTTTTTTTTAATTTACATATTTAGGAAATTTTTTTTTTTCATTATCTTAATCTAATTTATGATAGAGCTATCACCTAATTTATCTAGGGCATTGCGTTTTCGGCAATCGGACCGGCACTGGTAGATTTGAAATATACATTGGACACTACAATGGACAGGGTGTCACTAATATTTGTACTACAATCGGCTGGCATACTAACTGGATCACTATGTAAGTTGTCGTCTAGCTAACTAACTGTCCCCATATAACAACAACAAAACTAATTACCCCCTCCAATAAACTAGTTGGCCTATTGTTCAAACATGTCAATCGACAACTGGTACTGACTGGACTACTGGTGCTTATGTCATTGAGTACATTGTTGATACCGTTTTCCCAGCGTCTATGGCACCTATACTACTATAACTATGCATTTGGTGTAGCATCGGGCGCCTGGTTGAACATCAAAAACGTCTGGACCATTGAACTCTGGAATCACCGAAGCGCTGCACCCCTACAGTTGTCGTCGCTGATGTACGGTTTGGGTACAGTTCTCGGGCCACTGATTGCCGATCCGTATCTTACCGGACACAACAACAACAACACTATTACTACTACTATTATCACCACAAACGGGACACTTGTTGTTGTTGACGTAGAAGAGGATCGTCTACACAAAATTAGATCACCGTTTGTTATATGCGCTATCATTGAACTAATTGGTATGTATATGTCATCCGCATCAATCAGTAGCTACCGTTCCCATTCAATACTCATATTGTTCACTCACTCACACTATCATTAAAAAAATTTTAAGGACCAATACTATTGATAATAATGTATTTTTTGCGTAAATACGAAAAAACTGACGACAACTACGAAGAAATTGATGACCAACGAGACATCGACCGTAAGGCCAGTGTTACCGGCATCAGACATCTGCGGCCGGCTCTCATAGCACTGGTAGCCGTATTCTTGGCATTTCATATGTCATCCGAACAGATTACCCAACAGTTTGGTGCCACCTATTTTCAGGACATACCATTGAAACTGACGGCCAGCCAGTCGGCCGAACTTGTATCAGCTATGGCTGTGGCCGATACTGTTGGTCTAGCCGTCAGTGTATTCATTGCAAACATAGTTAGTCCACACTATATGCTTAGCTATCATTTGTTTATCATATTTGTTGCCTTAAACATACTGTTTCTTAACGAATCCGCTCAATGGCTTCTCTATGCCGGCAGTCTATCCTTAGCCTACGGCTACTCAGCTGTTTATCCATCAGTTTTTGCATTGATATCACGTTATATCGATGTTACCGACAGTGTCTGTACAATATTTATCATTAGCTCAGTCCTACTCAATCTATTTATGCCATTAATCATCGGTCTGTATATTGAACACTACGTACACGTATTGATGATGTCTGTATCGTTCAATCTGGCCATCAGTATAATTGTATTCATATTTACCATACAATTAATTAATAAATATTGTAAATATTAATATAATATAATATATAATTATATAATATAAATAAATTACACTATTTTTTATGGGAGAAAAAAAATATTATTAATTACATTTTAATTTTGATAATACTATGTACAGTATATTATCAAACATACAGTAATATAAACAAAATTATAGTTTAGTCATACATAAGAGTTAAGCAAGGTTTTTTTTTATTTTTGGCTTACCCCCCCCCAACTACCTACCCCTTGCTTAACCCTAATAAACATATACAGTAGATAAAGTACATTTTGGTCCAGTAGTAACTAAAGTATAGTATTATACTGTAGCAAAACATTGCAATTATATATATATATTGTACGTATGTATAGCTATGATAATTTAGTGCAAAACGTTACAACCAAAGTGTTACAAACAATATATCTTTTATAATATGTTTATTATGAATAACAAGTAAAAAATAGATAAATAATAAATCAATAGAAAAATTGTATTAATTAAATATTTTATATATTTTTTTTAAATACTTAGTTTTCTAAAAATAAAATTACAAAAAAAAATTTTTTTTGTAAATACATTTATGCGAAATAATTTATTTTTTTATTACAATTATAAATGTTACTACAACTAGGACATTTAGTACAATAATTGTATTAAATTATTTTTCAAATATTAAAATATAGTATACAATATTTATCATAATAAAAAATACATTTTTATTAATTTATTAAAAAATTAGATTTTGTTTTTTTCTAATTAGATAAACTGAAATACAGTTTATTAATAAAATACAATATAATCAATAATTAAGTTTATCATTATTATTATTATATGAAAATATAGAAAATTAATAATCAAGTTTAATATTTTTAAAAAAAAATTATCTAATATTAGTTGCCAATTTATTGTGATAAATAATTGATATAAATTGATCAATTGATTGTAACAAATTAATATATATATATATATATATAAAAAAAACAAATATTATAATATTATATAATTGTAATAATAACTGTATAGATTCAAGGGTAAAATTATAAAACTTAAAAGTTAGATAAATATACAAGTTTTTTCAATAATAATATATTTGCGATAATTTAATGAAATTTATTATAACATTTTAGTTTATAATTAAATAAAATAAAGTTATCCAACAAAAATAATTATATATATATTATTTAATATAAATATATATTTTTTAATTATTTAAAATTTTTAGTGTACTGTATATATATATGGGTACGTATTGTTTAATTGTACACAAATTTTATTTAATAATAATAATTTTTTTAAAATAATTTTTTTTTAGATATAAATCAATCATTAATTGGAGACCTAATAAGCGAGGGTAAGACCAAACAGGTATATCATTTGAAAAATGATGGCACATTTGGTACAAACGATTCGCTGGTTTATGTAAAAAATAAGGATAACATATCTGCCGGTAATCCCTACCTGTTCTCTGTGTGTATATACCAATACTGTATGTCTAATATAATTTGATGTATATTTTTTTTAAAGGTGATAATAGCCGTAATCGGCGTATTATGTTAGGCAAAGGTCGTATCACCTGCGAGACCAGTTCAGCCATTTTTGGTTATCTGAATGCAGTCGGTTTGGACACAGCTTTCATCGCCAGAGACCGGAACTGTGATAACGGATTTGTGGCCAAACACTGTCAAATGATACCAATAGAACTGGTCATTAGGTATGAGCTCTAAAAAACATACAATCAGTAATTAATTATCTCTCCCACATTCAACCCCCACCCCTCCCACTGAATAGACGTATAGCTATGGGTACATATCTGAAACTGAATCCCGATGTCAGCGAAGGTTACCGCTTTTTGACGCCATTAGTCGAAATACACATCAAAGACGATGCAAATCACGATCCGTTGTGGTCAGTGGACAGACTCGTTGGCGAACAGTTTGTCATCAATGGGCTGTCGGTGGACAGGGATGTGATCGATAGGATATTGAAATTAGCTAAACTGGTCTACGAAATACTTGAACGAGTCTGGCATACGATTGACTATCAATTGGTCGACTTGAAAGTCGAGTTCGGTGTAGTGGACAACAGCATCGGCGATACAAAACCACGTCTAGTGTTGGCCGATATCATTGACAACGAAACCTGGAGACTGTGGCCGTCGGGCGACAAGAAACAGATGGTCGACAAACAGATCTACAGAGAGTATAGCGAAGGCCAAGTGGACGACCAGGTTATCGATTATGTGCGGACAGTGTTTCAAAATGTATCGGATTTGACTCAACAGTTGTTCAGTTTGGAGAAGAAGTCGAAGAAATGTCTGAAATATTTGCCAAAAGAGTCGATCATTATTTTGACTGCCGATGAAAGTCACACAACAAGTAGTGAAGATAATCATTGTTTGGCCCAAAATTTATCTAAATATCTTCATAATGAATACAGTATTAAAAATAATTATTTATTTATTTTATTGAAAAAATTCAATTTATTAATACATATTTTTTTCAATCTGTGTGTGTGTGTGTGTGTGTCTGTATAGATATAAGCGGCATAACTGTCCAGAAAATTGGTGACCACTGTTGGCAACAATTAGTCGACAAACTAAGTCAAAGCTATTGTCAGCTAATAGTGACAATCGGTTGCATTGATAACGACAACTATTCATCAAAAATAGCCACAAGTGTTGCCATACCTGTCATCGACTATTGCTATGATGTTAATCATAATTCATTACTGGATCCGAAATTGTTGGACAAAAATCTAGTCAATCAGATAATCAAAATTATGGCCATCAATGACCAGTTTATTTGGTCTAAAATAAAATTAAGACAATGTTTTGATAGCACATTGGATGATAACTAATAAATTTTTATGAATTTTATATATCATTTATAATATATTTAATTATAATTTTGTTAATTTTTGTTACTCTCTCTCTCTGTCTCTCTTTCTAAATAAATAAATTATTAGTATTACACAAATTAAATATATATATCTACTGTATATATATATATAATTGTATTATAAATAATTTACATGCCCAGTCATTAATAATATAATAAATAGTATAATAGTTGTATAGTACAAATAGTACCAAATATAATAGTTAAAGATACCAGTAATATTTACTTGATGAGTTAATTGATTTTATTTAATATACTAAAATATAGGACCACCACAAAAAATCAAATGAGCCATTTTTAAAAATTATTATATAAAATGGTACATATTTTTTGCGCCGTTCCCACATATTTAAAATTTTATTATTTCTAATATAATTTTTTGTTGTTGAATAGCCTACCCCACAATATTCATGTAGTTTTAACTGTATATATATATAATTAAAATAATAGTTTTTATTAATATAATTTTTATTTGTAAAATAAAATAATACAGTAATCATTTTTATACTTACAAAAAAACTTTTCTATGAAATAAATTATGATTTTCATATTTAATTAAAAATTTTAGTGTATTTTTTAAAACAAGTATAATTTTGTTTTGTTTATTTTTTTTTTGAAAATAAAATAAACTTACTTTTAATTGCATATAATTTGTTGTTGTCATGTAATTATGTTGATGATTATTTTCTCTTGATCTTAAATTAAGTTGAAAATTAATAATATTAAATTAATTTTTTTAGTGATTAAAACTTTTATTATACTCTCTATTATTTAACAAAATTATTTTACAGTATATTATGATGTATTAATATTATAGTTTTGTATAAGTAATAATACTGTAGTAATAATAATATAAAATTAATTGTATGTGTATTTCAAAAAAAAACATGCAAGGTAATCAATTAATTAAATGACATCAATAATAAAAACTTTTTGTTTATGTCATTTCATTAAACTTTAACTTAATTTAATTGATAATGCAATGCATTAACTAATCAATTATTGTTTGTTTTAAAAAAGAAATTAAACTTAAAGTACAACTAATATTAAGTTAAAAAACAATATTCTCTAATTATAATTATTTAAAAAAAAATATAAATTATATGTTTTAACAGTTTATTGTTTACACAATTAATAGCCACAATAATGGGAGGACGTGTTTCGCGCACAGACTATGAATGGGTAAGTGATTTGGATGACAAAAATAAAATATAAAATAAAATAAATAGTTATCCTATTATATGTTTAAACATTGTGTTTGTGTGTGACTCTGATGTCTATTAGGTCTATACAGACCAACCGCACGCCACTCGGCGTCAATTAATTTTGGCTAAATATCCGCAAATTAAAGACTTGATGCGAGTCGACCCTAACTTCAAATGGGAAGTCCTGGCACTGGTGGCCATACAGATCGTATCGTTTTATTTGTTGCGCAATATCACCTCATTTTGGCTACTGTTTCTCGTTGGCTACTGTTTCAATGGCGTTATCAATCATTCGTTAACATTAGCCATACACGAGATCAGCCACAACCAGGTATTCGGCAATCGTTACCCGATGGCCAACAAATGGTTCGGTATTGTGGCCAACCTTCCAATCGGTATTCCATGTTCCGTATCATTTAAATATTATCATAACTATCATCACCAATATCTGGGTGTCGACAAACTAGATCCGGACACTCCGTCCGAATTTGAGGCCCGAATATTCTCGACCTCAGTCACCAAAGTCTTATGGCTTATATTTCAGCCACTATTCTATGGTTTTCGTCCTTTTTTTGTTAACCCGAAAGTTCCGTCGCCAATGGATATCTGTAATATTGTCGTCCAATTGGCGTTTAACTGCATAATTGGCCAGACATTAGGCTGGCATATAGTGGCCTATATGGTGGGCAGTAGTTGTTTAGCAATGGGTTTACATCCGATGTCCGCACATTTCCTGAGCGAACATTACATTATGTTTGATGATAACAATAAAAAGTATAGCAAAAATACCATTGAAAACGGTATTTATGTTAATAACGGTCGGTTTCTTGTACCGGACACCTGTTCCTATTATGGCTTCTGGAATATCATTGGATTCAATGTTGGCTATCATGTGGAACACCATGACTTTCCATCAATACCGGCCACACTATTACCTAAAGTCAGTCAAATAGCACCCGAATTTTATGACTCCCTCAACCATCATACTTCGTATTTAAAAATTATTTGGCAATTTATAGTTGATCCGAAAATGGGACCGTATGCTCGGGTCAAACGTGAGCTTAGGGATAAACATTATAAGCCATTGTAACAAAAATTATTTATAATAAATACTAAAGAAACAAATAATTGTTGGTTTTTAACTATTTGTTTTATATGGTATAATATTATGATATATACCTGTACAAAATAAATAAGTAAAATACTGTATAATATAATTTTATTTATTTCGTTTATCTATTGTATAAATATAAAATATATATACCGGTTAAATTTATAATTATTATATTTGCAATAAACTATTTTAAAATATAATAACTTAATTAACTTGTGTGTGTGTGTGTGTGTTTTGAGAGGGTGTCTGTTAGGCCTACCTATCTATATATTGTAGACTCATTAAAAAATGCAATATATTTTAGTATATCCTTAATTAAAATATCCTTGATATTTATAAATAATTGTCTATTTTATTTGAATTTACTAATTTATTGATATAATATATCAACATTTATCTAAATTGTGATTAACTAACAAATCCTATTTAAATAATTTCTTATAAGTAAATAACTATTGAATTTCTAGTATATTAATTGTTTTAGTAGTTTTAATTTTTTTTTATAATAGTAACTGTAATTTTAAATGACGTGTTCAGGTATAGGAATATAATTTGTAGATTATTATTATTATTTTTATTTTATTTTTTAAATAAACAGTAAAATTATGTTTTAAATATATTTTACACTAATATTAAGTAATAATATGTTACCTAATCATTAGTTTGTTTGTTTTAGTTATATTGAAGTAATTTTATTTTGTGTAAAGTTGTTTTTTTATTTTTAAAATGAATTAACTAAATTAATAGTATTTTGTAATATTTAAGTTTTTCATAAAAATTTAGTATTACTTAATAATAAATGTTATTATAAGATATACTGAATTATTATATAATTATAAAAATCAAAATTAACTATATTTAATTAATTTATTATATTATATTATTATTAGTATATATATAATTATATTATACTACCAAACAATTGAGTGATACAATTAATGGGAGGACGTATTTCCCGCACAGACTATGAATGGGTAAGTGATTTGGACACAAAAAAAATATTTTTAATTAAAATAAATAGTTATCCTATTATATGTTTAAACACTTTGTGTTTGTGTGACGACTCTGATGTCTATTAGGTCTATACAGACGAACCGCACGCCACTCGGCGTCAGTTAATTTTGGCTAAATATCCGCAAATCAAACAATTGATGCGAATCGACACTAACTTCAAGTGGACAGTACTGGCACTGGTGGCCATACAGATCGTATCGTATTATTTGTTGCGCAATACTACCACATTATGGCAACTGTTTTTAGTTGGCTACTGTTTCAATGGCGTTATCAATCACTCATTGATATTAGCCATACACGAAATCAGTCACAATCAGGCATTCGGCAACCGTTACCCGATGGCCAACAAATGGTTCGGCATTGTAGCCAACTTTCCACTTGGTTTTCCATATTTTGTGTCATTCAAACACTATCATACCAATCATCATCAATATCTGGGTGTCGACAAACTAGATCCGGACACTCCGTCCGAATTCGAGGCCCGAATATTCTCGACGTCTGCTACCAAAGTCCTATGGCTTATACTTCAGCCCCTAATCTATGGTTTGCGACCTCTTATTGTTAACCCGAAAGTTCCGTCGCCAATGGATATCTGTAATATTGTCGTCCAATTGGTGTTTGATTCTATAATTGGCCAGACATTAGGCTGGCATATAGTGGCCTATATGGTGGGCAGTACTTGGCTAGCAATGGGCTTACATCCGATGTCCGCACATTTTCTGAGCGAACATTTCATTATGTTTGATGACAACAATAAAAAGTTTAGCGATAATACCATTGAAAACGGTATTTATGTTAATAACGGCCGGTTTCTCGTACCGGACACCTGTTCCTATTATGGCTACTGGAATGCCATTGCATTCAATATTGGCTATCATGTGGAACACCATGACTTTCCATCAATACCGGCCAAACTATTACCTAAAGTCAGTCAAATAGCACCCGAATTTTATGACTCCCTCAACCATCATACTTCGTATTCAAAAATTATTTGGCAATTTATAGTTGATCCGAAAATAGGACCGTATGCACGGGTCAAACGTGCGCTTAGGGATAACACGAGTTAAACAATATGTGTAAATGTTTGTGTGTGTTTAGTTGTCAGTTAGACGACCTAACTTAAGCCCTACTTGTTAGGTCACATACAATGTAAACACATTAAAAATGCTAATATATTTTAGTACATGGGTGATATTTATTATTAATTTTTTATTAATTGTTTTATTTTAATTTAATTTTATCAATATTTGAGTTTACTAACTGGTCATATATATATATATATATATATATATATATATATATATCAACATTTACCTAAATTGTTATTAATTTTCAAATCAAATTATTAAAACTATTTAAGTAATTAGATAATTATTGAATTTCTAGTATAAAATTGTTTTATTAGTTATTTTTATTAGTAACTGTAATTTCAAATGATGTATTCATGTAAAGTAATATATTTATAATTCACAAAATCTATTAATATTTTTATTATTTTTTTTAAATAAAAAGTAAATTTATGTATTTATTCTAATATTAGCAAAATATGGAAAATAATTATTAATACTTATTTTTGATGTTGAAGTGAATTTTATGTTTGATAGAAATAATGAAATTTGTAGCCAAAATCTTATTGAAAACAATAGTTACTGTTAATAACTGTAAGCTTATCCATCCGGAAACATGTTCCTGGATTACGGCATCTGTAATCCGATTATATTCAAATGTTGGCTATCATGTGGAGGAACACCATGAATTTCCATCAATACCGGCCACAGTGTTACCACAAAAGTCCGTCTAATAGCACCCGAATATTATGACTCCCTGTGCCATCACAGGTCGTTGTCAAAAGTATTGATCCCAAACTGGGACCCTAACCCTAAACAATATAATATAATAACATATCTGTATAATAACTAAATAAATAAAATATTATACAATAATTAAATAGTTAATAAATAAAAATCTATGTATTTATCTTATTTTTTTAATTTAATTTAATTTAGTACACGTATTCAAAAATTGTATAATAAATTACTTTGTATTCAAGGTTGAAATGATTTATAACTATACAAAAAAAAATTACATAAAAAAATCATTTATTTGTTAAATAAATTTTTAAATATTAATTATGACTTTTATTCTTAATAATTATTGCACTAATTTAGAAAAATAATTACTTAGTATTGTACTGTATATGTACTAAAAAAAACATTACATATACAGCTAAATATTTGTATCTACATGTATACTACATGTCTAACATAATACTGTAGGGTTGGAAAAATACAAGGTTTTAAATTTTGATTTTGTATAACACAATATTGCATGTATTATACATTTACAACAACAAAACAAATATATATTATGTTAAAAAGTTTATAAAAATTATTTAATGTCAATACAATTGTTAGAAAAATTATTATTTTTATATTATTAATAATTGTTTTCCAAAAAATTAAGATAAAGAAATTGTTATTTTTTTTGATAAAAATAATAGATACACCTAAATGCCCAGTTAGCTTGAATCAGTAATAATTAAGTCTAATATACTATAAGGTGCCGGGCATTGATTAAACAATTATATTTATCTATCAATAATTATAGTATTTATATATCAATTAGCTATTATGTATAGTACTGTATTTAAAAAATAATATTTATTATGCAATAAAATTCTATGTGCAATATATTGTAATTGTTGATGTAAAATAATAATAGTAATAATACGTCTATTAAAAATTGTTTTTAAAAAAATTTTAAAAATAAATTGTTTTTTAAAAAACATGTTAATGTCTGACGGAATTTTCTATTTCGTAAAATTACTAAGCAGTCATAAATAAAATCAAGTAAATTACGTTAATAGTATAACTAAACTTTTTTTTTTTAAATATTATATTTATATAAAAATAATTTAATTATAAAATAGACTAACATTGGTTTTTTAAAAAATAATAATAATAAAATTAATAGTTATAATAATTATTTCAATTAGATCTAACTGTTAAACTATAAATATATACAAATATAGTTTTCAAAGTTGTAAAGTAAAAAAAAATTAAATTAAACAATTTATTTACTGTATATTTTTTTAAATGTTACAAATCTAATTAACTTTTTTTAAAAAAAAACCTTATAATTTATTGTTATTAATAATTATACTATTTAGCTAAAAAATTTTTATTATTTAATATATTAGATAAATATTAGATTAGTATATTTACTTAAGTTAAGTTATGTTTTTTTAAAAAACCGAGTCAATATATTTCAAACGTTTAATTGACACATGTTCATAATAAATGCAAACTAATTATTTAGCTAATAAAATAAGTTATTTATTTAAGCAATATTAGTTTTTTTTAAATTAATAATAAATTTATTATTTTTAAAAGTTTTATTTTTCATAACAAGAACTTAATAAATATTAAATTATAAATATTTGTTTTTTGAAAAATTATTTATAAAAAAATATTAATAATTTAAACTTAATTAATTAATTTAGTTTAGTTTAAATTTAATAATATAATTTTTTTTGTTGAAAAAAACAAACTATTTTTATTAATTTAATTTAAAAAAACTGATAGTTAATAAATTACAATTAGTCATCTATAAAGTGACAAGGTAGTTTTTTGTAGTAATCAAAACACACGTTTTATTGCTACTTTACTGAGTAATATAGATATAGACTGGCCAACTGTTAATATGCCACATCTATTAAATTAATTATACTATGTTTTATTTAAATAAAATAAAAATTAATAAATAAATATTTTTAATTAAATAAATTATAATCTAAAATAATATTATTTAACATAACAAAAATAACTAAACTAGCATATATTTTATATTTTATTTAAAAAAAAATTAATATAAAAAAGTGTATGATTATTTAGTAAGAAAAACAATACATGAATAATATTTATTTTTTTTAAAAAATAATCATGGTCACTATACCAATTTTGGCATATATATTTAGCCAATTTTCTATAGTAAATTTTATAGTTAGAAAATTTTATTAATTAAAAATTATTTATTAGCTAATTAAATATATATATATATATAGGCATAAAAAAAATTATTATTATTATTTTAATTATAATAATGTACCAAAAACTAACAGTACTGATGGCGCCCATCAACTTTGTCGGTCCCATAATGGCCTGTATCGGTATCGGCGAAGTACTACGAGACAGTGGCCATCGGGTAGTGTTTGCCGTAAGGGCCAGTTGGCGAAAAAAACTAACCGAAATGGGTTTCTCGGTAGAAGTGATTGGCGACAACGAAACCGATCAGTCGACACCGGTTATGGATACGGCCGAACAGGGGGTCGAACTTATTCGAGATTGTATGCAAAATCAATCGGCTCTACAGATATGTTTCAAACGTTTTTCGACAATGGCCAACATACTGGCCATTTGCGAAGCCGACGAACCCTACTATCGGGATATTATTGACCGCCAGCGACCCGATGCTATCATTTTGGACAACTTGATTAACTTGCCGTCTGTTGTCAACTCGGGCTGCGTATGGATCAAAGCGGTCAGCGATAGTCCACTGATGCTTGATATGTGTCTGGAGGACAGCCGATTGCCGCCATCGCTATTGGGTAGGCATACATGCATATATAGATACAAACAAAATCATTAATATCTAACAATATTAACATTTATTTATATAACAGGACTGTCTATCAATGATAAAAGTCTATGGGATTACTATCGACAACAAGTCAATGCAATCAGGTATCCAGTGTTCAAATTGTTTGGCGATTGGTTTCAATCGCATGGATGTCCGGCACCGGCTGACAATCAGCTATGGTTTCCGTCTCCGTACGCAAACTTTTATTTGACACCCAAAGAGCTGGACTATACTGATGTTAGGCCAATGCCCGACAATTTCTATCAATTTGATTACTATAAGCGTACAGTTAATGAGGCCAATGAGGATGTCTTTGAATTACCCAAACAGTTAAGACAGAGATCAGGAAAATTGATTTACCTGTCGTTGGGATCGACAAACAGCGCTGATGTCGACCTAATGAAACGTTTGGTGGGTTTGTTAGCCAAATCCGAGCACAGAATTATTGTATCCAAAGGTATCAATCACGACAAGTATGAGTTGGCGGACAACATGTGGGGCGAAAAGTTTGTCCCGCAAATAAAAGTATTGCCAATCGTCGACCTATTCATAACACACGGCGGTAATAATTCGGTCACCGAATGTATGTATTTCGGTAAACCAATGATAGTCTTACCGCTGTTCTGGGATCAGTTCGATAACGCACAGAGAGTCGAGGACAAGGGTTACGGTATACGACTCAATCCGTACGAGTGCTCTGAACAACAATTATTGCAATCAATTGATAGTTTACTAAATGACAATCAATTGGCGGAAAAGTTGAAAAAAGCATCGAAAAGGATTCAAACCGAAAGACAAATAGAAAGAATACCCGAAATGCTTATGAAATTAGTTAAAGACCCGACCCGTTGGCTCGTAGACTACTAGTAGTGTTAGGGGGAAAAAATTGTTATCATTTTTTTAAAAAAATATATAATTATAATCTAATTTTAAATATTTATATAACTTTATATTTACATACATACATAGATACATATATTAATTTATCAATTTATTATTAATTTAGAAATAATTAAATCAAATTCTTAATTTTTTTTATATAATTGTATATAAATATAGTATATAAATAAATACATAAAAAACATAACTATTGCTTAAGTTATTAGCCAATTTATAATTTACTGTGCATTTACAGTAGTAGTAGTTAGCATTATTTGATTACAATTAAAATGTTGATATAAATTATTTTTTTGTTGTTTATTTAAGTTCTATAGTACTAAATTAATTGTGCTTGATAATTTTTATAAGTTATGTAGTGTACATGTATGATAAGTACTGTACATTAAATATTTATCTGTAATAAATTACAATTTATTATAAAAAATAGGATTTTATAAAAAAAATTATAATATCATTACTGTTGCTTAAATCATTGCTATTGTATGTGTAAGTAAGTTATTGTGTAAAAAATATTTAAAAATCTAATAATATCAATAATTGTGAAATGTTTTATATTTTATGTTTTACAATAATATGTAATGTTGAACTATCAATGCAATAATTAGATATATTTGTAGATTTTTTTTTCAATTTTTAATAATGTCAACAATTTAACTACAATTTTGCTAATTAACATACAGTATAAATCTAATCTAGAAATAAGTTAATACTAAAAAATATTATTATTTTATAATTTTTTAAAAAAATTAAATAAATAATTTTTTTTAAATAAATACCTGTATCTAGTCTATTCATTTTTTAAAAATTTTATACATTTATCTAACACATGTTCAAATAAAATGCAAACTAATAATTTTTTTTAGATTATTAAATATTATATATATATATATATAATTATTTAAGAGTAAATTAAATAATTAATTATTAATATATATATATGAAAAATCATATTAATAATAAATAAATTTTTTAATTAATAAAACTTATATACTTTAAAAGCATAATTAATATTTATAGAAAAAAAATTAAATAATATTTGCTATAATATATACAGATTTATTTTTTAAAAACAATTATTATTATTATTATTATTATTATTATTATTATTATTATTATTATTATTATTATTATTATTATTATTATACAGTAATATTATCATTATTTAAATTAAACTGTTGATAAATATCTATAAAAAATTAATACATAAACAGTATAATTTGTCATTTACTACTATATATTAATGACAATGTATTTTTTGTGATAACCTTATGTTTAAAAAAACAAGTTTTATTATTAGTTTATACTAAATAATAGTTTAGACTAAATGCAGGTATTGTCTGTAAATTTAAATAAAATCTAAAATCAACAATTGAAATAATGCTATAATATATACAGTATATACGGTAATGTACAGTAAAATAATTAATTATAAACTATAAAAATAAAATAGTGATAAATATTTTCAAATCTATACTATGAGTAATAATTAATTAATAATTAATTCTACAAATAAATACAGAAATAATTTAAAAATAAGATGACAATCATAAACATAAAACAAAAATCTATATAAATAAAAAAACAATAATAATATTTATCATCATTAAATATAATAATAATTTAAATAAAACAAAAATTATAAAAAAATTTACCAAAAACTAACAGTGCTGATAGCACCGGCCAACTTTGTGTTGACGTTTTTAAAACTAATTTATAAATAAAATTAATAAATTTTAGTTATTTAAATTAGAATATGCTTAAAATTTATTTAAAAAAACTATTAGTAAAATTTATTATAAATTATATTAATATTTTTTTAACGCTAATATTTTTTCAAAAATAAAAACAAATTTATTGATATGCTATATATAGTTAACATATACTGTATGAAACCAAGAATATTAAATAATTTATTTAGCTAATTAAATAAAAATTGTTTTTTTCTAATTTTTAATTTAATTTTAATCTATTAATAGTTGCATTTAAATTGTAATTATTATATAATAATAAAAATTTTAAAAAACAACAACAAAAATCAGAAATTTTATTTACATATTTTACATGTTTGCCAATAATGCATCTGTAATTAGTTTATATTAATTAATATTTATATAACAGATATATGTCTATAAAAATATAATAATAATAATAGCGATTCATTGTATAAATTAATGTATTATAAATTATTTGTAAACATTGTAATGTTGCTATTTTTTTTATTTAAAAAAATAATAAATCTATAATTTATTAATTAATAAATGTTTTAAGAAAAAAGTTTTAAAACTTTAAAATTTGATATTATTTATTGTTATTGCTGTTTATTGATTTACTAAATGTAAGTAGATAAATTATTTAATTAAATATTATAACATTACTTTTATTTTTAACTTTAAATAACTTTACCTATACTAAAAAAATGTAAATATAATAATTTTTATTGCTATTTTAAATCAACATTATAATTTTGTATAATAAAAATATTTTTCAAAGACAAAAAAAATTATTTATTTAATCGTATTCTATTTACAAATTAATAAATTATTTTAACTATTTATATATTTAATTAATTAATATTATATAAATAATTTTTTTAAAAATTATCAAAAAAATAACTTATATAAATAATTCATTTTTAATTTAAAACAAATAAAATTAATTTAAAAACATTTAATGCTAATTAAAATCAAAATGTATATAATATTTAATATTTTGGCTAAATATCCGCAAATCAAACAATTGATGCGAATCGACACTAACTTCAAGTGGACAGTACTGGCACTGGTGGCCATACAGATCGTATCGTTTTATTTGTTGCGCAATACCACCTCATTTTGGCTACTGTTTCTCGTTGGCTACTGTTTCAATGGCGTTATCAATCATTCGTTAACATTAGCCATACACGAGATCAGCCACAACCAGGTATTCGGTAATTGTTATCCTTTAGCTAACAAATGGTTCGGTATTGTGGCCAACCTTCCGATCGGTATTCCATATTCCGTATCATTCAAATATTATCATAGCTATCATCACCGATATCTGGGTGTCGATAGACTAGATCCGGACACTCCATCAGAATTAGAGGCCCGAATATTCTCGACCTCAGCCACCAAAGTCTTATGGATTATACTTCAGCCACTGTTCTATGGTTTGCGACCACAGTTTGTTAATCCGAAAATCCTGTCCAAAATGGATGTCTGTAATATAGTCATCCAATTTGGGTTTGACTATATAATTGGCCAGACATTAGGCTGGCATATAGTGGCCTATATGGTGGGCAGTTTGTTCATAACAATGGGCTTACATCCGATGGCCGGGCATTTTCTAACCGAACACTATATTATGGTTGACAATAATAATGATGATAATAATTTTATGGATAAGCATAACGAAAATGCTATTGAAAACGGTATTTATGTTAATAACGGTCAGTTTCTTGTACCGGACACCTGTTCCTATTATGGCTACTGGAATATCATTGCATTCAATGTTGGCTATCATGTTGAACACCATGACTTTCCATCAATACCGGCCACACTATTACCAAAAGTCCGTCAAATAGCACCCGAATTTTATGACTCCCTATGCCATCACACGTCGTTGTCAACTGTAATCTGGCAATATATTGTCGATCCCAAACTGGGACCCTATGCACGGATCAAACGTAAGCTCAGGGAGTCTTAAGATTATAAAAACTTTAAAAATAAAGAGGAACTACACCAATATTATTGTATAATAATTGATCAAAAAATTATTATTACATTATTATTAGTATTTTTTTAATTTTTATAAATTAATGTATCTATTATTTTATTAAGTAAATTATTTATTTTTATTTTGATATAATTGTTTGATATAAAACATGTTTCATTTGATTTGATTGAATATAAATTATTTGAAAAAAAACAAATTGTTTATTAATTAGTACATAGTATTACAACAATAATCTTTTTCTTTTTTTTTTAAAGTTTTATACAAGTTTGTTATGTAACAACATTTATCAAAAAAATTATTATATATTTACAGTATATATATATATATAGTATTTATGTACTAATATTATCTAATTTTGATTAAATAAATAAATTTTATTAACTTTCTAAAAGTGCGAAACTATATAAACAATTATAATCTATTTGGTACAGTGTTATCAATATTTACTATAAAAATATAATACTATAGTTTCAATATCATTGAATATTATTATAAATATAGTTAACTGAGTTTTGAATTTAGTGCAACATGTATCATTAAAAAATTTGTATATAAACCTGTATATAAAAATTATATCAATAATTCAATTAAAATATATATATATAAAATATTTACTCAATAAATATAAATATCATTAATAAATTAATAAAATAATTAATTAATTTATATTGTTGTAAACCATACTATATAAAAATAATAATGTCGTCCAATAATAATAAACTAACCGTACTATTGTCTCCGTGCAATTATGTCGGTCCTATGATGGCCAGTATCGGTATGGCCGAAGTACTGCGAGATGCTGGCCATCGGCCAGTGTTTGCCATCAAACGCGATTGGATTCAAAAGATTCAACGATTGAACTTTGACTTCGAGCTTATGGAGGAACCGGAATCGGATAGTTCAGCGGTGGTCATGGATTCGGCCGACAAGAATGCGGCGGACAATGAAGAAATGTTGGCCAATAGGACACCAATGGAACAGTTGATATCGGTATTTACCACTATTGTCGATGATATGATCGCTCAAATGGAGATTGAAAAGCCGTTTCTGAATAATATCATTGCCAAAGTCAAGCCCAATGTTATCTTAATTGATCACATTTTGGTCAATCCGACGATTTACAACTCACAGGTGCCCTATATTATGAGCTACAGTAGTAATCCATTGAATTTGGATACCTGTATAGAGGATAAACGTTTACCACCGGGAGCATTAGGTATGTCATATAATAATAATAATAACTTTTATTTAATTATTTCTATTAAAAATAGGACTGTCCGTAAACGGTGATAATAGTAATTGGGAAGTCTATAGACAACAGGCAAAAGATTCGCGTCTAGACAGTTGGTATCGTTATAGAGATTGGCTATTGAAATATGGCTGTCCAGTACCGGATAAATATCAACTATTTTATCCGTCCCCCTACGCAACCATCTATATGTATCCCAAAGAGTTGGACTACACTGATATTAGACCACTTCCCGATACGTTTCATAGTTTTGACAATTTTAGGCGTACGGGTAATGAGGATGTGTTTGAAATACCGAAACAGTTGAGTCAAAGATCAGGAAAATTGATTTACCTGTCGCTGGGATCGTTAGGCAGCGCCAATGTCGACCTAATGAAACGTTTGGTCGCTATTCTAGCCAAGTCTGAGCACAAGTTTATTGTGTCCAAAGGTGTCAAACACGACAAGTATGAGTTGGCGGACAACATGTGGGGCGAGAGGTTTATCCCACAAGTTAAGGTGTTGCCAATTGTCGACCTATTTATAACACACGGCGGCAATAACTCGTTTACCGAATGTATGTCTTTCGGTAAACCTATGATTGTCTTACCATTGTTTTTCGATCAGTTGGATAATGCACAGAGAGTTGAGGACAAAGGTTATGGCATTCGTCTCAATCCATACGAATGCTCTGAACAACAATTACTTCAAGCAATTGATAAGATTTTAAATGACAAACAATTGATTGAAAAATGTAACAAAACTGGAAAACGAATACAAAATGAGAAAAATAATGAAAAATTTGTGAAATTAGTGGAAAATGTTAGTAAACTTAAAAAGTGATTATTTTTATAAATTTTATTTTAAAAAATGTTTCGAGTAATTTTACCTGTTTTCTTAAAATTGTTTATATTGCATAAATTTATTTTGATTAATAAAGTTTAAAAATTTAAAAATTATTGTATCAATCTATTAATCGTTTAGAAGATTTAGAATGTAAACTAAAAATTTATATTTATAATATAGATTTAAAAAATTAATAAATTAATTAGTAATTATAATAGTTTTTTTTAATAATTAATTTATATATTGTTGTTATATTACTATCGTTTATAAACAAATAACACATTTATAATTAACAATTTATATTATATATTAGTATAAGCAATTCTAGTTAAGTTTATTAATAAGTAATATAATATATTTTTATAAAATATAATTTTTATATTTAATAATTTTGATTATTAAATCTTTGCTAATATTTTATTTAGTTTTTATTAAGCAATATTAGACACTTTATATAATACAGTACTAAAAATAAAATTAAGATTGACATTTGTCGAGAACTTATTTATTTTTATGTTAATATAAAACATGTTATTTTATAATTTTATTTAATAAAAAATTTACATTTTTTTTGTAAATAAATTGTTTATTAATCAGTACATTGTATTACAATTTTAATCGTATTTTTTGTTGTTGAAAAAAATGTTATACAAGTTTGTTAGGTTACAACATTTATCAATAATATATATATATATATATATATATATATATATATATATAGTATTTACCGTATGTGCTAATATAATCTAATTTTGATTATATATATAATTGATAAATTTATAACTATAATGGCTATAGCCATGAGTGCAAAACTATAAATTATAGTCAATTTTATTATTATTATTGTTATTAATTAGTATTATCCTTATCATTGAAAATTGTTAAATAAAAAATTAGATAATTTTGTTAGTACAACATGTATCATAATAAAAATTAGTATATATATACAAATATATACTGTAAATCTCAATAATTTAATTCAAAATATATTTTATTTTAATTTTGCCAATACAGGCATTTATTTTAAAGAAAATAGTATATAAATATAATATTTTTATTTTATAAATATTATTATTATTAACTAATATTATTGTAAACCATACTCTATAAAAATAATAATGTCGTCCAATAATAATCTAACCGTACTGTTGGCTCCGTGCAACTATGTCGGTCCTATGATGGCCAGTATCGGTATGGCCGAAGTGTTGCGCGATGCCGGCCATCGACCAGTGTTTGCCATCAAACGCGATTGGATTCAAAAGATTCAACGATTGAACTTTGACATCGAGCTTATGGAGGAACCGGAATCGACTGCTAAAACAACCGATAGTTTAGCGGTGGTCATGGATTCGGCCGACAAGAATGTAGCCGATAATGAAGAAATGTTGACCAATAGGACACCAATGGAACAATTGATATCAGTGTTTACCAATGTTGTCGACGAACTAATAGTGGAAATGGAGACCGAACAGCCCTATCTCACGAGTATTATAGCCAAAGTCAGGCCCAATGTTATCATAACTGATCACATTTTGGTCAATCCAACGATTTACAACTCACAGGTGCCCTATATTATGAGCTACAGTAGCAATCCGCTCAATTTGGACGCCTGTATAGAGGATAAACGTTTACCACCGGGATGCTTAGGTATGTTATGTTAATAATATTAATAATTATAATTTCATGCAATATATTATATAGTTATGATATTAGCTATTTAGCTCTCTCTCTCTCACTCTTAATAGTAATTTCTATATTTTTTTTACTTTTATTTTTTATATTATTTAATAGGACTGTCCGTAAATGGTGATAATAGTAATTGGGAAGTCTATAGACAACAAGCAAAAGATTCGCGTCTAGACAGTTGGTATCGATATAGAGATTGGCTACTGAAATATGGCTGTCCGGTACCGGATAAATATCAACTATTTTATCCGTCCCCCTACGCAACCATCTATATGTATCCAAAAGAGCTGGACTATACCGATGTGAGACCACTTCCCGATACGTTTCATTGTTTTGATAATTTTAAACGTACGGGAAATGAGGACGTGTTTGAATTACCGAAACAGTTAAGTCAAAGATCAGGAAAATTGATTTACCTGTCGTTGGGATCGTTGGGCAGCGGAAATGTCGACCTAATGAAACGTTTAGTCGCTATTCTAGCCAATTCTGAGCACAGGTTTATTGTGTCCAAAGGTGTCAAACACGACAAGTATGAGTTGGCGGACAACATGTGGGGCGAAAGGTTTGTACCACAGGTTAAGGTGTTGCCAATTGTTGACCTATTCCTAACACACGGAGGAAATAATTCGTTTACCGAATGTATGTCTTTCGGTAAACCTATGATAGTGTTCCCACTGTTTGCCGATCAGTTCGATAACGCACAGAGAGTTGAGGACATGGGTTACGGCATACGACTCAATCCATACGAGTGCTCTGAACAACAATTACTTCAATCAATTGATAAGATATTAAATGACAAACAATTGATTGAAAAATGTAATAAAATTGGACAACGAATACTAAATGAGAAAAATAATGAAAAATTTGTGAAATTAGTCGAAAATGTTAGTAAACTTAAAAAGTGATTATTTTTATAAATTTTTATTAAAAAATATGTTACGAGTAATTTTAATTTTAAACTTGTTTATATTATATGGATTTATTTTGTTTTTATATTAAAAATTATTAAAATGAAATTATTGTATTAATATATTAATTGTAATTAATAATAATTATCTAATAGTTAGCAAAGTAAAATAAAAATTTATAACTTTAATAAAATAGAAATAATAGAAATGAGAAATTTATTAATAATTATAGTAGTTTTACAACTATTAGTTTATATAAACAAATAATGCATTTATACTGATTTACATAATTTGTACTGATTATTATTATAAGTTAATTTAGTTATGTTTATTTATACACTAATTAATCATTATTTTTTATATAATAAATACAATATGAGAGAACTTTATATAAATTGTTTTGTAGTTATAGGATTAGTTATAATTTATTAACTTTTTTAAATTTTATTTCATTATCAATATATTTTCATTTACTGTAATACAGTATTAAAAAAAATAAAATATAATTTTTTCATTAAGATTGACATGTTAAAATAAAACATTATTTTTTAAAAAATCTAACTCAATAGAAATTTAACATTTTATATTTTTTAAATAAATTGTTTATTAATTAGTACATTGTATTACAACTTTGTGTTACAAAAAAAAGTTTTATACAAGTTTATCAATGAATACAAAATGAGAAAAATAATGACAAATTTGTGAAATTAGTCGAAAATGTTAGTAAATTTATAAAGTGATTATTTTTATAAATTTTATTAAATATATTTTACGAGTAATTTTAATTTTAAAATTGCCAATATTATATAAATTTATTAAGACTTTAAAAAAAAAATTTAATTATAGTAGTATATATGTTGATTCCAAACAAACAACAAAAGTTCAAGGAAAACAAGTATTTAAAAAAAATATTTTAGTATCATTTAACAGTTGTTTACTTCAAAATATGATATAATCTCAACTTCCAACAGGATATACACACATACACACAAACGCATAAACAGAGACACATACAGTATAAACTTATTTATTGTTTTTATATTGTTATTTTTTAAGGGGGGGGAAGGAAATATATATTTTAAAAAAATAAACAGGTCAACAGTCTATGAAAGACAGGTTTATATATATTTTTTAGTATAAAAACTAATATATAATTATATTTAAAATCATTTGTAGGCTAAAACTCTGCCCGAATGTCGAGAAAAAAATTAAAATGGATGGTAAGGTCGGTGCTGGTGGTGATGGTAAGCAAATAGGACGTCTTTTATATGAAAAAGGGGGCGATTAACCAAAAGGACGTCGCCTTGATGAACACCACAGCAGTGGTATTAACCGTTTTTTTTAAAAGCCTCAACTAAATGGAAGACGCGAATGTCTAAATACACCAACACACTTATTGATGATTTGGACCGCGGACTGGACATAAAGGGATTAATAGATTTGGTTGAGGACTACGAGGAGTTAGGTTATACTTTACGTAGTATAGCCAACAAACATAACATCACTTTTGATGACCACTGCTGGGTCGGGGGCATTAACAGCACCGGCAACAGTAAAAACACCGACAACACTGGCAACACTTCCAGCACTGGCAGAACAGGGAGGACCGGTAGCATCGACAGCATTAGTAATTTACTGTTTTTAGCGTGATAATTAAATTTATAATTAATATACTTATTTCCAAAAATATACAGATCATTTAAAAGTATACAATATAAAAATTATAAAGAAATATATTATAAAACAATGGTTAATAATTTAATTAATAAAATAACATTAAAATAATAGATGTCACCACTTTAAAATAAACATTAAGAGTATAACAGATATAAGCAGACATTTTACAAAATTGGCATCTATTGTTATGACAGTTTTTTTAAACTCCCTGGTTATAACTTATTTGATTGATGTTATTGTTTAACAGGTGGTATAAAATAGTGTATCAATATTTATATTAATTAGCTAATAAAAATTATAAAAAAATATATATTATCAGTTAATTAATTAATAATCAAATGCAGAGAATTTGACACGCTTTGGCTCATATTAGTACTAAATATGTAAGGGTCAGTTTGTGAGTTTTTATTTTGAAAAAATATATTGTTGAGATCTAATATTAAAATTATATTTTAACATTAGAGAATAAAATAGTTATCTTATCATAATCATACTAATTTTTCTTAGCAAATAAATATGTTCCATTAATGAGATTAATTGAAGTACCTGAAAACATAAATAACGACGAAATTGTTAAAATAGACTTTAAATTACCGTATTATCACCCGCTAAATCACACTGAACTAAAAAATATTAATATAAAAGTATGTGATTTTAATGGTGATCTAATTAAATTTTATTATGGTGTTGTATCAGTAACTTTACATTTTCGTAAAAAGCAGATATCATTGTTTTAAATGTTTAAAACAGTTTTATTTAGTGTTCTTTTTTTATGTCTTATCATCTATATTTTTAATTTTTGTGCAATGGAAGAAAATTAGTTTGTAATTAATATTACACGCCCGTCAAAACTTACATCATCTTTACAACTAGACAATAGTGATAGTTCTCTAGACAATTCTCTAAATTCTTTTTCCAAAACGTAAGATATATTTTCTCCAATAAGTTTACATTTATATTCATGAATACGTCTGTCCCATACTATCCAATGCCAATTTGATATTCTTGCTTGTTTACTAGCATATAACCAAACATACATTGTTTTTATATTGATTTTATCATGAAATCTAACAGATTTCATAATTTATATACACAAAAAAAAATTTATATATATTATCACTATTTAAGATTATATTAGTTATTAATATAAAACATACATACATATATATTGGGTATAGCAAATGATATCCGCACACATTGTGAAACCAAACTTTGTATTTTTATTTTACAATTTTTAAAATTGTTAACAAATAATTTTTAATTAAAATTAATACATAATTAATATGTCTAAATTTATAGTAAATTTAATTTTTAATAAAATTAAAAATGAAAATAGTATAAGGATTTCAGTTTAGTATCCCAATTTTATGAAAAGCATCATTCATAAATATCGTTATAAAATAGTGTTAAAATTATACTTCTAAAAAATTTAAAAAGAGTAATTAAATCCTGTTTATATTACCTCTTTCACATAATAGTTTTTAAATTTTTAAAATAAAAATTAACTTAAATAATCAAAGACAAACTTGAATGTGAGATTAATCATTAAAATTAATGTAGTAAAAATACTAATAAATAATTTTTTTTAATTAAAATTCTATTTTTATATTAGTTTTATTTTATCTGAAGATTTGAAATTATTTTGATTTAAATTGTAAAAGATATAGTTGATTTTTCAAATTTCAGATAAATTTGGTCATAATTTATCGGTAAAAAATGACCACATTTTAGAAAAAACTTTGTAAAAACTTAAAAATAATAGATTGTAAAATATTGTAATATCTTTCATTTAATATAGATAACTGACTGTCAAGTTACCAATTTTTAGAATTGTAAAGACATTTATTAAGGGGTTAAAATATCAACAAAATAGAGTCGGTAAAAATTGCTACCTCATTTTTGCGCTCAATTAAAATTCGAAAACAATTTAAGTAAAAAAAATAAATTTAAATATAAAATATAGATAAATATATAGACTATTGAATTATATATAAAAATATTTTCTATAATTAAAAAATAAAAGTAAAAAAATGACGTAAAGTTAAGTCTTCCATGTTGTGCGACTATCTTTTGCTATACCCTAATATTTATATTAAATAAATAACTAAATTAATAGTAGTTATCCTTTAACAGCAATTGTGGTCAACATATATACTACTAATTATTGTATCAATATATTCATTATAATAAATAATAATTCTATATTAGTTTAGAAAATTTACAAAATAAAATAAAAATTTATATTTATAAATTTAATAAAATATAAATTATAAAATTGATAAATTGATAAATTAATTAATAATTATTATAGTTTTACAATTAAATTAAATATTAGTATATTATTGTTTTCATACTGTCGTTTATAAACATATTACATTTATAATTCATAATTTTATTATATAAAAAAAAGTTTATTTATACATTAATTTCTGAATAAATAGTAAATAATTTTGATTATTGAATACTTTATTTATTTTTTATTTTTTTATATAAAATTATTTTTTTATATTAGCAATACAATACGATTGTACTTTATATAAAAATTTATATAACTTTAATACAGTACTAAAATAAATAAAATTTATTAAGTTTGATAGTTGTCAAAAACTTATTTTATTTTTATGTTAATATAAAACATATTTTTTAAAAATATAATTTAACATATTATATTTTTTTTAATAAATTGTTTATTAATTAGTACATTGTATTACTTATTACTTTAAAAAAAGTGTTATACAAGTTTGTTAGGTAACAACATTTATCAATAAAATAACATATAATCTAATTTTGATTAAATATAATAAATAAATTTATAATTATAGCCACTATAGCCAAAAGTGCAAAACTATAAATTATAGTCAAATTAGTACAATATTATAATTGTTATTAATTAGTATTATGCTTATCATTGAAAATCTATTATATAATAGATATTTTTGTAAGTGAAACAATTATCATTAATAAAAAATGGTTTATATACAATATATATATATATATATATATATATATATATATATATATATATATATATATATATATATATATATATACTTTAAATCTTAATAAATCAATTTAAAATATTTTAAAAATTTATTGCCACAAAACAATTGGAGATTTATTTATTTTATTTTTTTAAAGAAAATAGTTTATAAATATTATTAATAGCTTATGAATATTATTATTATTTAATATTATTATAAACTATACTCTTAAAATATGCCGTCCAATAATAATAATAATAATCTAACCGTACTGTTGGCTCCGTGCAACTATGTCGGTCCTATGATGGCCAGTATCGGAATGGCCGAAGTGTTGCGCGATGCCGGCCATCGGCCAGTGTTTGCCGTCAAACCCGAATGGATTCAAAAGATTCAACGGTTAAACTTTGACATTGAGCTTCTGGAGGAACCGGAATCGACTGCTAAAACCACTAATAGTTTAGCGGTGGTCATGGATTCGGCCGAAAAGAATGTGTCGGACATTCAGGAAATGTTGGCAAATAGGACACCAATGGATCAGTTGATATCAGTATTTACCACTGCTGTCGACGAACTATTAGTCGATATGGAGACCGAACAGCCCTATCTCACGGGTATTATTGCCAAAGTCAGGCCCAATGTGATCATAACTGATCACATTTTGATCAATCCGTCGATTTACAACTCACAGGTGCCCTATATTATGAGCTACAGTAGTAATCCATTGAATTTGGACACCTGTATAGAGGATAGACGTCTACCGCCGGGAGCATTAGGTATGTTATATAATAATACCAATAATAATAATAATAATAATATTTTCTATGACAATAGTATAGAGTCTGTGAACAACAAGTAATTAAAAAAATTAATATATATATATATTATATAAATATGTAATTTAACAAATAATAATATAACTTTTATTTAATTATTTCTATTAAAAAATATAATTAAAAATAGGACTGTCCCTAAACGGTGATAATAGCAATTGGGAAAACTATAGACAACAAGCAAAAGATTTGCGTAAAGACAGTTGGTATCGATATAGAGAGATTGGCTAATCAAATATGGCTGTCCGGCACCCGATAAATATCAGCTTATATATCCGTCCCCCTACGCAACCATTTATATGTATCCCAAAGAGCTGGACTATACCGATGTGAGACCACTTCCCGAAACATTTCATCGTTTTGACAATTTTAGGCGTACGGGTAATGAGGATGTATTTGAATTACCGAAACAGTTGAGTCAAAGATCGGGAAAATTGGTTTATCTGTTACTGGGATCAATGGGAAGCGGAAATGTTGACCTAATGAAACGTTTGGTCGCTATTCTAGCCAAGTCTGAGCACAGATTTATTGTGTCCAAAGGTGTCAAACACGACAAGTATGAGTTGGCGGACAACATGTGGGGCGAGAGGTTTGTTCCACAGGTAAAGGTGTTGCCTATTGTCGACCTATTTATAACACACGGCGGCAATAACTCGTTTACCGAATGTATGTCTTTCGGTAAACCTATGATTGTGTTTCCATTATTTTTCGATCAGTTCGATAACGCACAGAGAGTTGAGGACAAGGGTTACGATATACGACTCAATCCATACGAGTGCTCTGAACAACAATTACTTCAATCGATTAACAAACTATTAAATGACAAACAATTGATTGAAAAATGTAATAAAATTGGACTACGAATACAAAATGAGAAAAATAATGAAAAATTTGTAAAATTAGTCGAAAATGTTAGTAAACTTAAAAAGTAGTGATTTTATAAATTTTTATTAAAAATATGTTACGAGTAATTTTTTAATTTTAAACTTGTTTATAATATATGAATTTATTTTGTTCAATAAAATTTAAAACTTTTAATATTATTGTATCAATAGATTAATTGTAATTAATAATAATTTTCTAATAGTTTTAGAAGTAAAATAAAAATTTATATTTATAAATTTAATAAAAAATAAAATTACTAGAAATAGTAAATTTATTAATCCTAATAACTTTAATATAATAGTTTTGTCTGTTTGTTTGTTTGTTTGTTTGTATGTGTGCACACTTCCTCAACAACCATTTTTTAATTCAAAGCTAAAAATATATTGTTATATTTTCAATTTTAATTTAAAGCAATATTATTTCTATGGGAAATTTTAAATGATTATTGAGCTCAGGTAGGTTTTAGGGACAGGTAGGCTGGTGTCGTGTAATTACACTTTGCTATATTATATGAGTTACAGGGCACCGGGAGGTAAGCTACCTGTGCTAAATTTTTGCAAAATTTTCTCAAATGCAAAAATTTTCAATGTGTTAAAATTTTCAATTTGTGTTAAAATTTTCAATTTTAATTTAAAGCAATGTTATTTCTATGGGAAATTTTAAATGATTATTGAGCTCAGGTAGGTTTTAGGGACAGGTAGGCTGGTGTCGTGTAATTACACTTTGCTATATTATATGAGTTACAGGGCACCGGGAGGTAAGCTACCTGTGCTAAATTTTTGCAAAATTTTCTCAAATGCAAAAATTTTCAATTTGTGTTAAAATTTTCAATTTTAATTTAAAGCAATGTTATTTCTATGGGAAATTTTAAATGATTATTGAGCTCAGGTAGGTTTTAGGGACAGGTAGGCTGGTGTGTCGTGTAATTACACTTTGCTATATTGTGTGAGTTTATGGCACATGTTAGCTACATGTGTTAAATTTCAGTAAATTTTTTTCAAATGCAAATTCTTTTTCGCAAAAATTAAATTTTCAATTTTTATTAAAATTATTTAAATATATATAAAAACTAAAATTTCTCAAAAGTTTAGTCGAATTAATGTGTATTGGTTCAATAGTTTTGTTACATTAGGTTATGTAGTAGTTGTATAAACAAATTAAGTCTCATTCAAATTACTTATAGTAAATATTTTTAAATTAGTAAAAGAATTGCACGGCTATACATGTTGCTCGGGACAAACTAGTAATTATAAATATTATTGTTACAAATATTTGTTTATAAACAAATTATACATTTATATGGATTTACATAATTTGTAATTATTATTATAAGTTACTTTATTTATGTTTAGTTATACACTAATTAATCATCATTTTTTATATAATTAATTAATTTTGATAATTAAATCTTTGTTTAAATTTTATTTATTTATTATATAATAAATACAATATGAGATGACTTTATAAAAATTATTATTAGTTATATTGATTAGTTATAATTTATTAAAATTAAAATGTTTGAAATTAATTTTATTTCATTATTATTATATTTGCATATACTGTAATACAGTACTAAAAAAAATAAAATATAATTTTTTCATTAATATTAACATCTGTCGAAAACTTATTTATTTTTATATTAATATAAAACATGTTTTTTTAAATAAATTGTTTATTAATTAGTACATTGTATTACAACTTTGTGTTATACAAGTTTTATAAATCAATAAAAAAATATGCGTAGTATTTATGTGTTAATCAATTTGATACAATATTATAATTATCATTGAAAATTGTTATATAATAGATAATTTTGTTAGTGCATCAATTAATAAAAATTAGTTTATATACATATATACTGTATATATACAGGAAATATCAAAAAATTCAATTCAAATTTTTTAAACATTTATATTGACATTATAGTCAATAAAATTAAGATTTATTAAATTTTTACTTTTAATGAAAATAGCTTATAATTAATATACTTTTAAAAATATTATATTTATTTAATATTATTATAAACTATACTTTAAAAATATGACGTCCATTAATAATAATAAACTAACCGTACTGTTGGCTCCGTGCAACTATGTCGGTCCTATGATGGCCAGTATCGGTATGGCCGAAGTACTGCGAGATGCCGGCCATCGACCAGTGTTTGCCGTCAAACGTGATTGGATTCAAAAGATTCAACGGTTAAACTTTGACATCGAGCTTCTGGAGGAACCGGAATCGACTGCTGACACCGCCGATAGTTCAGCGGTGGTTATGGATTCGGCCGACAAGAATGTGGCCGACAATGAAAAAATGTTAACCAATAGGACACCAATGGAACAATTGATATCAGTGTTTACCAATTTTGTCGACGAACTTATAGCCGATATGGAGACCGAACAGCCCTATCTCACGAGTATTATTGCCAAAGTCAGGCCCAATGTCATCATAATTGATCACATTTTGGTCAATCCGACGATTTACAACTCACAGGTGCCCTATATTATGAGCTACAGTAGTAATCCATTGAATTTGGACACCTGTATAGAGGATAAACGTCTACCGCCGGGAGCATTAGGTATGTTATATAATAATACCAATAATAATAATAATAATAATAGTTTCAATAACAATAGTATAGAGTCTATGAACAACCAGTAATTACATTTACAAAATAAAATATATATATATATATATATATATATATAATATAAATATGTAATTTAACAAATAATAATATAACTTTTATTTAATTATTTCTATTTAAAAACACATTTAAACTGTTTATTTAGGACTGTCCGTAAACGGCGATAATAGCAATTGGGAAGTCTATAGACAACAAGCAAAAGATTCACGTCTAGACAGTTGGTATCGATATAGAGATTGGCTACAGAAATATGGCTGTCCGGTAACGGATAAATATCAACTATTTTATCCGTCCCCCTACGCAACCATCTATATGTATCCCAAAGAGCTGGACTATACCGATGTGAGACCACTTCCCGACACGTTTCATGGTTTTGACAATTTTAGGCGTACGGGTAATGAGGATGTGTTTGAAGTACCGAAACAGTTGAGTCAAAGATCAGGAAAATTGGTTTACCTGTCGTTGGGATCATTGGGCAGTGGAAATGTCGATCTAATGAAACGTTTGGTCGCTATTCTAGCCAAGTCTGAGCACAGATTTATTGTGTCCAAAGGTGTCAAACACGACAAGTATGAGTTGGCGGACAACATGTGGGGCGAAAGGTTTGTACCACAGGTTAAGGTGTTGCCTATTGTCGACCTATTCATAACACACGGAGGAAATAACTCGTTTACCGAATGTATGTCTTTCGGTAAACCAATGATAGTGTTCCCACTGTTTTTCGATCAGTTCGATAACGCACAGAGAGTTGAGGACAAGGGTTACGGTATACGACTCAATCCATACGAGTGCTCTGAACAACAATTACTTCAATCAATTGACAAACTATTAAATGACAAACAATTGATTGAAAAATGTAATAAAATTGGACAACGAATACAAAATGAAAAAAATAATGAAAAATTTGTGAAATTAGTCGAAAATGTTAGTAAACTAAAAAAGTAATTAAATAAAATTTTATAATTTTTTAAAAAATATGTTAAGAATAATTTTATTTTTTAAAAAAAATGTTTGTATTATATGAATTTATTTTGTTAACATAAAATTTAAAACTTTATTCATAATTTTATCTATATATTAATTTACAAATAAAGTAAAATAGAAAATTATAAATATAAATAAAGTTTTCCAATTAAATTAAATAATAGTATTGTGTTGTTTTAATATTATAGTCTATAAACAAATAATACTTATAGTTATTTTTACTATTTTATATAATACATTGAATAATTATTCTGGATAAATTTTTTAAACATAGATTTATTATAATATAATAAATTTTTTCTAATAATTTTTTTATGTAAAATATATTTTTTAATTATTTTAAATTTAATTATTTAACTGTTTATGTGATTACGACAATTTGATAGTGTTTTAAAACTTTATCTAATATTAAATAGTATAATCAGTATGTTTTTCCGTATTTAAAATACTAATTAAAATTGATAGCAGTTATTTGCGATGAAAATATTTATTTTTTTAATAGATAATAAATTTATTTCAAATAAAATTTAGTTGACAATTATATTAAACACACAGTTAACTATATAATAGATATAATAATAATTAATTGATTTTGAAGGACATTAAAAATATTATTTATACTATGAGATTGAATTTTGTATTAAATTTATTTTTATTTTAATATCAGATATTTTTATTTTGGTAATCAAATAAAAATTTTAATTGACATACACATACATTTAATTTAATTTAATATTAATCATTATCTTTTTTATTTAATTGACAAATAAATCAAGGCTTTTAAATGTCTTATTCAAAACATATATAAATATATCGCTTTTCAAACATAATTTTAATATCATAGTTATAAGTGATAGTTATAAGTATTTAATAATAATTTAATAATTTTTTGTGATTTTATTGTTGAATATCCAATACCCCTCCACCACCCCCGCCCACACACACACACACACACACACACACACAAAATAACAACAATAAAAAAACAATGCGCAAAAAGCTAACAGTGCTATTTGCACCGATCAACTATGTCGGACCAGTCCTGTCCAGTATAGGTATGGCCGAAGTCCTACGCGACGGCGGACACCGACCAGTCTTTGCTATTAGTCAGGCGTGGAAACAAAAGGTCAGTTCGGTTGGCTTCGAGATCGAACTAATGGATGATGAACTCACCGATGATGATGATGGTGGTGGCGGTGGCCAGGTAGCCGATTCGGCTGCCGCCAATGTCGAAGAGCTCCGGGATCTGTTGGACAATATTTCACCGATGGATAAATATGTTCAGACATTTGCCATTATGTTTGATGATCTGATTCGCGATATCGATAAAGAAGAGCCAGCTCTGCGGACTATCATTGAACGAGTCCGACCGGACATTATCATTACCGACCATATACTAGATGTGCCGGCCATTATCCAATCGGGTGTACCCTATATACTGAGCTACAGTAGTAATCCATTGTCACTGGATATGGGTCTCGAAGATCCACGTTTGCCACCATCGCTGTTAGGTATGATATTTTTTTTGAAGTGTCATATATTGTAGATATTGAAACAGTATACCAGAAACAGGTATTATATACAGTAATATGTATTAATAATAATAATAATAATAATAATATTTTTTAGGTCTAAGCGTAAACAGCGATAAGTCCGAATGGGAACAACTGAGGACTGACCTGAAAGCTGCCCGACGACCAGGTTGGCTAAAATACAGCGATTGGCTTCAGTCGAAAGGCTTGCCGCCTACCGGCGAGTGTCAACTATTTTCTCCGTCTCCCTACGCAACCATCTATATGTTTCCCAAAGAGTTGGACTACACTGACCAGAGACCACTTCCCGACACGTTTCATGGTTTTGATAATTTTAAGCGTTCGGAAAATGAGGACAAGTTTGAAGTGCCGAAACAGTTAAGTCAAAGATCGGGAAAATTGGTTTACCTGTCACTGGGATCGATGGGCAGCGGAAATGTCGATCTAATGAAACGCTTGATTAGTATGTTAGCCAAGTCTGAGCATCGGTTTATTGTGTCCAAAGGTGTCTATCACGACAAGTATGAATTGGCGGACAACATGTGGGGCGAAAGGAGTGTCCCACAGGTAAAGGTGCTGTCGATTGTCGATCTATTCATAACACACGGCGGAAATAACTCGGTAACCGAATGTATGTATTTCGGTAAACCAATGATAGTGTTCCCAATGTTTTACGATCAATACGATAACGCACAGAGAGTTGAGGACAAGGGTTACGGTATACGTCTGAATCCATACGAGTGCTCTGAACAACAATTATTGCAATCAATTGATAAGTTATTAAATGACAAACAATTGGCTGAAAAGTTACAGAAATTGTCTCAACGAATACAAAACGAAAGAAATATTGAAAATCTTGTAAAATTAGTTGAAAATATTGCTAATAAATAGTTAAAATGTTAATTAATATTATTTTAATTTAATATAATATAATTTTGTTTAGTTTTTTATGCATTTTGTTATATCTCTAATGATCACAAAATTAATTGTTAAAATTTATATAATTAAATAAATGTTATTTTTAAAAAATTATTATTATTATTATAAATTGTTTTTGTCAAGTAATGTCTTCAAATTTTATTTATAATCTATTTTTAAACAAAATTTATATATTAAATTTAACAAAACAAAATAGTTAATCGTATATATAATAGTAATGGTATTACGAAATAAAATTGTAAATAAGATTCAAGTATTTTCTTTGAAAAAAATATAATATATAAAATAAATTACTTATGATTTAGAGTAAAAATATAGTAAAGTTTGATATAATTAGGGTTAGATTGAGAATCCCAGGGAGGGAAGTTCCCAAATAAAATCCCTCCAATTTTCCCGGAAAATATGGAAAATATATTATATTCCCTCCCTTGATCGTTAGAAAGGGAAAATATAATTTGTCATACATTAAAAAGTACATAATCTCAATGGCTATGTGTTTCAATTGGGACCATTATGTTAGTAATAACTCAATCAAAATATGATTCAAATATTATTAAACATTTAGTAAAAACATTAAATACATTTTGTAGACATTTACTATACAAACGTGTTTTTAATTAAACATTATGTAATGTGAGTTAGGGTACGATAGGTAGTACCACAAGGAAATGTCTTCCCAGGGAATTCCCAGGGAACAGGGAATATAAGGAACTTATGGAAAATAAGACGAGGGAGGGAATCTGATCTAACCCTAGATATAATACAGTATATATATACAGTATATATTATATTATTATACTTACGATAAGTGTTAAAACATTAAATTAAATTTTAGTATTTATTCAAACACTTATATGATGTTATATTAATAATATAATATTTTATTATATTACAGGTATATATTGTAGATATATATAAATTTTATATAATATTTATATAGTGACTCTTCACTGAACTTTTCAATGATTTTTTTTATTACACACACACTCACACACACATACATACATACACAAACACACACTCACTCGCACACACACACTCACACACACACACACACACACACTCACTCACATACACACACACACACACACACACACACACACACACACACACACACACACACACACACACACACATACATACACATACATACACTAATAGAAAAAGAAAAAAAATTAAATCAACAAAAATAATGGAAACGAAAAAAAAGTCTGGAATATAAAGTTTCCGAGAAAATCAATTGAACTAAAAATAAATAAAATATTTACTGTACTTATAATTTATATACATATGATATATATTACAGTATATATATATATATATATACTGTGTATATAATTTATATTTACTTAAGATTATATTGTATATATTGTAAGATATTATTGAATTTCAATGTAAATACATACATTAAAAACAAAACAAAAGTAAAAAGTATTGTTTGTCTTTCGTTCATCATTTACATATGTATTACAAACACAATTAATTTGATTAAATATTTTTAAATGAAAATATAAAAAATGCAATTTTCTTGTAAATAAATTAATAAATAAAAACTAATCTAATTGATTAGTATAATTAGTATAATTAATTAGTTAATATTTGTTTTTCAATATATATATTTATTTATTTATATACTGTATATATATATAGGAAAACTACACACATTTTTTTATAATAATCAAAATAATTTAGATATTGTTTTACTTTAAAAACTATTTAGTTAATAAACACTTATAAATTATAAAATATTTAAATAATTGTAAATATTATTTATACTAAATATTGTTGTTTTCATAAAAAACAACACAAAAATTATTATGATATTATTTTTTTTTGTATTATATTAATATTTTATTTTTTGTTTGTTTGAATAGTTTCTATGGCTTTATATTTTGTGAACAGTTATGTGGAAATGTAATAAAAGACAACAACCAAAAAACTAGAATTAAATTTGATTTTTATTTATTTACTATATTTTCTACTATTATTGTTAATAATATTGAGAGCACCAGCACAGGGATGGCGTCGCTAACATCACAAGAAGTTTTCAAAATGCTAAGAGAGAGAGAGAGAGAGAGAGAGAGAGAGAGAGAGAGAGAGAGAGAGTTATAGCTCAGGGAGATATAGAGCACATGGATAATAGCAATCAGTCAATACTCCAGCAAACTATATATATATTGTATATTCAGTACATAACGATTGCCCACAACTATCAGTGTTCAGAAAAGAGAGTTTCAAATATAGTTAACATGTATTTCTTGTTAACTATTTTCTTGTTATTGTTGTGTCGACTGTAGTAGTAGTAGTGGTGGGTTTTTGTTAAGCACCGGGAGATCTTTACTTCACAAAAAATAACTTTAAACTACTAAAACATATTATAAGACTACACACACACAGTACTGGCGATTCTCTCCGCGCGCTTTTTTTCCACAGAAATTATAGCTTTTTTAAGGGTTATTATTATTATTGTTATCATATGTTGATAGACATACCCGTAGATAGAGAAGCAAAGAGAGAGAGAGAGAGAGAGAGAGAGAGAGAGAGAGAGAGAGAGAGAGAGAGAGAGGGCCTCTAATATAATTACAGTATTCTCTCTCTCTCTCTCTCTCTCTCTCTCTCTCTCTCTCTCTCTCTCTCTCTCTCTCTCTCTCTCTCTCTCTCTCTGTTTTTAAGTACATGAAGCTAACAGTCGTGACTTTTTGTTTCTTAAGGTGTACTCTCTTATAAGTATTCAGTTGTGTTAGGAGAGAGAGAGAGAGAGAGAGAGAGAGAGAGAGAGAGAGAGAGAGAGAGATAGGGAGGAACAGTAGGTATAACATTGTAATGTACTGTTGTATGTTAAACTTTAGATGTTTTTACTAAACTTTTAACGACAACATTCCTCTATCTACTGGTACTCTATTTTATTGGTAATAATTTTTAGTTTATTTTTTTTCTCCAGTGGTCTCTATACTATATGTGAGTGGCTTCTCCATCCATCCATCCATACAAACAACACACACACACTCATACAGACACACATAATTCATCCGTCACTTGAATCGCATAACCGTTTTTTTATAGCCAATTCCCAGGAAAAAAATCTCTGACGAATCTTTTATTATTATTATATTTTTTGTTGTTTGTGTATATCGATTGATATTATATATATTTAATGTGAAAAATACATTTATAATATACAATATTATATAATAAATTTTATATATAAAACATCATTAATAAAAAACCGCGTGTTTTTGTTTGTTTGTTACTCTCTATTGTATTTAATAATAATAATAATTGAAATAATATTTCAAACAACAATTAATTATTTTTTATATATATAAATTTTGATGAATTTCAATGAACTGCAACATAACTTAACCGAAATTAATTGTTTGTTTTTTTATTTATTAATGTGTCGACAATTGAAAATGTTATTATTGATTAATTATTTAATGAATTTATTATCAATTATTTGATTATTATTATTTTTTTTGGTCAGCTAAATAATTTTCTAACTTTCATCAAAAAAATAACTAACTAATAATAATTAAAACTAATAACAATAATTATATATATATATATATATATATATATATATATATATATATATAGTTTATTTGTGTGTGTGGTTTATACTGTATATCTCATAGTACTGTATATTGACATGACATTAAAAGGGATCTCCGTTTTGTTAATTAATAAATTAATGTCAACAACAAAAACAACTAATACATCACAATTAGTACAGTGTCTATACTATTTGTGTATCATATTTGTGGCCGCATTTATTGTAGGCCTATCGGAGGCCAAAAAATCGAGTGCAACGGCGGCGACTATAGCGGCCATAGATACGCCGTCGACGTCGTCGTCGGACAGCAACGACATAATCGGCAACGAGTGTCATCGGGCGGCGGTCTGGCGGTGCGGCCATCGGTTTATAAGAGCCCACAAATTTGTCCACTTATTGGGAAAGAAGGACTCGTTTGAGCCCAAGTGTGCTCTCAGATCCGTAAGTCATATCCGTTTTTATTATTATATTTTTTTGTTTTTGTTGGCTAACTGTGCCCCGAAATAGTTTCAATATAATTATTTTACTGTAATTTTTTTTTAAAGTACTGTATATAATAATATGTTTTACATCCGGATAGTTAGTGATTTTTTTCAGGGAGTGCAGTTTGATTTTAAATTATCTAGCTAATTTTTTTTATATAAATCAATATATTGATATACAGTATATACAGGATATAAAAATTATGTAAATATTTATGATAATAAAAACATATAATAAATATTTAATATATTTATTTTTATTTAAATCTTATTATCTTTACAGTGTATTTACTAATACTATATTATTTTTTTGATAATCATATAAATTTAATACAAATAATACAGTACTATCATGTACTGTATGATTGTATTATAAGTTTTATTATTATCATTATTATTGTAATGTTTATGAAATTAATTATTTAAATCTTATTATTAATACAGTATTAATATTTTCAATGTTATAGATTACATAATAATGTTAATAATTCATAGTATTATACTAGTATTATAAGCCCAAAATACTTTAATGCTAATGTTTTATTTTATTTTTTTAAGTAATAGTTATAAATTATATTGTATTGTACGGTATATTATTATAACTTAATAACTTATAATAACTTAATTTTTAATAAGACTAAATTTAAGTAGTTTATATTATCTATAAATATTATAAAATATTAATCATTGACCAAATAATAGACTATTAATCATTTTGATTACTAAATTTGCATAAATATTATTTATAAACACTTAACCAATTATAAATGTCATATTAAAATCAAACATAATATAGTATAGTTGAATAAATTTATTAAAATCAATATATTAAAAAAAATCTATTGAACTATACTATGCACTGGTTATGTGTTTATAAATACTGTAATTTTATGGAAAATAAGTAACCAAAAAAATATTTAATTATTAATCGTCTATTAATTATATATATACAGTACTATTGAAATTAATGGCAAATACTTTTTTTATTAAAATCTAATTTTTAGGCATTTTTTGTGTGCCTCAAAAAATCAAAGTCCAGATCGTGTCACAAACGTCGGGCACCGCATACGGAAAGTTTCCGCAAACGACTGGCCGACACACTATGGTCTACCAGATCCTGTCTATTGGGTGCCAAAAATTGATTGATTTATTTATTCATTGATTGATTTTGTTTAGACTTTAAACAAAAACTATTTCTAACATTATTTGTTTTTCATTAACAAAACTTATTAATAATTATTATAATTATATATTTATATTTCATTGTCATTATAATCACAAACAGCAAAAATTTGATGTATAAATTATTATTGTATTAATATTTTAATGTAATTTATATGCGATATCATTGTTTGGTTACTATTTTTTAATTTTCAATATATATATTATTATAATCATAATACTGTACTAATATTTGTTTATTTATTTTTTTTGAGATAAAACTAATAAATTGATTAATAAAAACTACTGTGTATTTATTGTTTTATTATTATATTTCATACCATGTTTTTTTTTGTGAATACATATATAATTAAACTAATAAAATAATGTATAAACTATATTATTAATTACATTGCAATAATTGTAATTTTTATCAAACAATATATAAGATGAAATTGTTATTTTCCTTAAATAGATATATCCTCAAATCTAAACCATATTATTATTATTACAGCTAATAAACCAATTTTCTAAGTATAATAATAATAAAATAAATGCCATTGAATAACATAATAATATAATCAAGTATTAGCACATAAAATATATAATCATTAGCTAACAAACTAATATTAATTATATATACAGTAAATATATTTAATAAACTTCATTAAAAATCTATTTTAAGTGTCATATGCATAATGAGATACTCAATAATAATACTAATTGTAAATAATTTATATATTTATAATTAAGAAATAAAGTAAAAATAAAAATATTATTCATATTTGACTACTTTAAGTGAATATTTTAGTTAATTAGCTATTAATGTATTTTCATACACAAAAAAACCCTAACATATCATAAACATTACTAAATAATAAATTCAATTTATTAAATATTAAACAAATTCTGTATAAATTATTTTGAATTATTTTTGAAAATACTAAGTTATATACTATATATATATATATATATATAATAGTATATATAGTAATGACATATAACATAAACCTGTGAAACCTTTGATATTTATAAGTTTTAGTAAAAAATAGTAATAATAAAAAAAATAGTTAATAAAAATGCTTTTATGATTTTGTTAATATATTCCGTAATATATAAATTATATATCATATTATTTATATATATCAATAACATAGACAAAAAAAATAAAAATCACAGAATTTCAAATAAAATTTAATATATATTATACTAAATTTATAAATAAAATTTATTTATATAGATATAATATATAGTGTACTGTATTACTGTATATCATATATATATATTATTCATATGTTTGAAATAATCAATATCATTTACGTGCTTAGGCATCCAATTTGTTTTATATATATATATAAATTTATATGAAATAAAGTACTGTAAATGTATATCAATAATATAATGTAGAGTTTTATATTATATAAAAAAATTTTGCATGAATGCACTAACATTAAAGTATTGTACTGTTATATAAAATAAATTTATATTACTATCATATGTTGTGTAATATTATTAGTGTAAAGTAAAAAATAAAAAGATTTATTTTCGCTGTTTTTTATTTACTTAACTCGACTATAAATTTAAAAAATTTACAATATATTTGTTATTCAAATAAAACATTAAATTTATATTATTATTATTATTATTATTCTAACTTATTATTGAGATTGTAGTCTAATAATCCTATTTTAGTATATTTTATAAATTATTAAAAAAAGTAATTTATTTTTGTGGAAATTTAGAAATTTGCAAATAAATTTTTTTAACTAATTGCAAACTGTATTCATAAATTATATCTACTATAAAAAAAATCTACTTTAAATAAATTAATTAGAAATACTTATTATTTATCAACAAAAAAAACAATATTTAGTTAAATGTCACTATTATTGGTACTAATCAATCATTTTTTTTAAATAGTAAATTAACTTTTATATTGTTAGCAATTTATCATCATCATCATAATTATTATTATTATGCTATAATTTATGTTATATATTTTTTGTTGCTTTTTTATAAGCAGTTTAATTTTACGACAATATTTGGCTATCGTAATGATTATTGTTTCCGAGAAATATATTATTTCAAAAATAACAATAATATTAAATTGCTATCTATTTTTGTAGTCAATTAGTTGTTTTTTCAATATTATTGAATTACATAAACATTCAACAAAAACAAAAATTTTTTTTGATGTTATTAATAGGAAATTTGTGCTAATAATATACAGGTATTAATACTATTAATAATTTATTAATAGTCAATAAAAAACTACATAATTTTTATATACTGTATATGTTATAGATATACAAAAAATTAATAATATAAATATTACAGAATATTAATTTATATCAAATATAATATCAAAATATGATATTATTTATTTATTAAGCTTAAAGTACTAAATTAATATTTCATTTCTACAGTATATCAGTTAAGCAATAATTAATCAATAAATTTATTAAATAAATATATTAAATCAAATAAATTGAATTTGTACTCAATTTGTGTACAATTTGATTAAAAAAAAATATTAGTCATTAAATTTCATTTTAATTTTTATCTTTTTTTTTGTTGTTGATTTGATTTTAATAAATATAATTTTATATTTATTCATAAATATATTTTATGCATACTATTATTTGTAAGTAGTTATAACTTTAAAAAAATATATAATTATTTAAATTATTGATACAATATTATATTATTAATAGTATAATATTAATAATTATTATTAATATACTGTAGATTGTAGATACTATAAGTAATTATAAAATATTTTAAAACACTATCATATAGCAACATATGCTAAAATTTTGATAATATTCAATAGTATCTCAATATATCAATTTTTGTAAATAAAATGATAACAAAATTACTAACATAACTATTCAAGGCTAATCAAAAATACAAGTCATTAAAAATTAATTTATTTTTAAGTTAACAAAAATATTAATTAATATTTTTTTTATTAAAATTTTTTTAATTAACAGTTGAATACAATAAAATTTCTAAATAATATTTCACTGCATAGTAATAATTGATTTTTTTTATATAAGTTAAGTATAGTTATTAAAAAAAAATAATAATGACAAAAAAGCTAACAGTGCTGATGACACCGGCCAACTTTGTCGGTCCAATAATGTCCAGTATCGGTATTGGCGAAGTATTACGCGACAGTGGCCATCGAGTAGTGTTTGCCGTACGGGCCAGTTGGCGACCAAAACTCCAGGCACTGGGCTTTGTAGTGGAACTGTTAGGCGGAGAACAGGAGGTTGTCAAAGATACTGTCGAAGATAGTTTGGAACTGATTAAGAATATGATAAGCAATCGGACGCCACTTGAAAAAGGTTTGAATACGTTTACAACTGAAATGATGGCCGACTTGATAGCCATTGGCGAAGCCGATGAACCCTACTATCGGCAAATCATTGATCGCCACAAACCCGATGCCATCATTTCGGATAATGTGATAAATATGCCGTCGGTTGTCAACTCTGGTAGCGTATGGATAATGTCAAACAGTAATAATCCGTTATCGCTAGACATGTGTCTGGAGGACAACCGGTTGCCGCCATCGCTATTGGGTAATCACATTCAACATGTGTTTTATGTCATAATTAATATATCATATCGTATAATAGGTCTGCCTATCAATGATAAGAGTCTATGGGATGACTATCGACGACAAATCAATGAAACCAGATTTCAAGCGTTCAAAGTCTGGGCCGATTGGCTTCAATCGCATGGATGTCCGGCACCGGCTGCTAATCAGCTATGGTTTCCGTCTCCGTACGCAAACTTTTATTTAATACCCAAAGAGCTGGACTACACTGACATTAGGCCACTGCCCGACAACTTCTATCAGTTTGATTACTATAAGCGTACGGCCAATGAGGACGTGTTTGAAATACCGGAACAGTTGAGACAGAAATCAGGAAAATTAATATATCTTTCGTTGGGATCGATGGGCAGCGCAGACGTCGACCTAATGAAACGTTTAGTTGCTATGTTAGCCAACAGTGAGCACAGGTTTATTGTGTCCAAAGGTGTCAATCACGACAAGTATGAGTTGGCGGACAACATGTGGGGCGAAAGGTTTGTACCACAGGTAAAGGTGCTGTCAATTGTCGACCTATTTCTAACACACGGCGGCAATAACTCTATTACCGAATGTATGTATTTCGGTAAACCTATGTTAGTGTTCCCATTGTTTTTCGATCAGTTCGATAACGCACAGAGAGTTGAGGACAAGGGTTACGGTATACGACTCAATCCATACGAGTGCTCTGAACAACAATTATTGCAATCAATTGATAAGATATTAAATGACAATAAATTGATTGAAAAGTTACGACAAGTTTCTCAAAGAATACAAACTGAGAAACTAATTGAAAAAATACCGGAAATAATTGATAGATTAGTTAAACAGAAATCAAAATAATTAGTTATAATTAAATATTTTTTTTTAAAAATTGTTTTATTTTTAATTTAATTATAATAATAATCAATAAAAAAATTTGTTTATATTAATATTGTATTTATTTTTATTTTATAAAATTAATAAAACTATAGATTTTTTTCTCCAAAAAAAAGTCATTACAAGTATTGTAATCAGGGTTTTAAAAATGGCAGGCATTAACAATAGATGCCAATTTTGCCAAATGCCTGCCCTGCCTCTGCCATGCCCTGGACATCTATTTTCAGGTGGTGACACCTATTATTTTAATTATATATTATTATTTTATCTATAAAACATTGTTTTATCGATATTTGTTTGTATTTTTGTTTTGTATATCTTTACTTAAAAGGTAATATCATTGGAATTAATTATATTAATTGAAAATTTAATTAACAAGCTAAAAACAGTAAATTACATTATTTTTTATAAATACAGTTGCTTTATAGCAATTAAATTTGGCAGACAAATAAAATAGATGCCCAAAATGCCAGGCATTTATGGCATCTATTTGGGCATTGCCAGGGCAGGCATTTATTTCCTTAAAACCCTGATTGTAATACAAGTTTTACTGTTTCTATAGAAACACAAAACAATAGCAATGTTTTTGTTTTGATACCAAAACAAAAACTAATAAATAAATAAATAATTGTTTTATATTTATAACACGTTTTTTAAGCGTCAAGTCTACCTCACGTGCGGCCATTTGGTGGCCAAATTAGTTGACTTGTAATGTCCACAACAATATCGACACGACAGTCGGTATCCGACCAGTTGTTCGACTCGTTGACCGCCGAAAACACGCGACTAATGATTGAGTTGTCAATTGATAGACAATTGCTGAGTGTTTTGGAGATTTACCGAAATTTATCGCACGACTGGCGATCGCAATGTGTTTGCCGACAACGGACGGCTCCAATCGCGGCATCGATAGACGAATTGGACACCAAATATCACCGTTTGTTGGATAGGAAACGCCGACAACAGTCAATGCGATGTAACGGCGAATCAAGCGCTGACCAAAACAATACGCGACCGATAAGTGTTCGCCGATTATCACATGAAGCGGACAACAATGCCGACATCAACGAAGATACAGTGGTTACGGCTGGCGGTCTCGAGATTATCGACGGCATCGATACTTTGCCGTCAAACGACTGCTTCAATGACGACCGACAACTTATGGACGACTCGCGCGATGTGATTATTAACGGTCAATCAATAGACGAGTCCACCGACGACGGCGGCGACAGTTATTCGGCAGACGGTTTTGTTGCTGAATTGGCCGAACAAATGCCGATTAAACGGGAAATGGATGTAAACATAACTAAAGAAAACGTTTCATCACTGATGACCACCAGATCTCGCAAGACGTGTGCCAACAACAGTCAAAAGTCTCGGCCACCGAAACGATTGGCCACAAAACGGTCGCAAATGAAGATAAGCGATGAAACCCGAAGTGAAATTATCGATCATATGATCAACGGTATGGGTGTCGTACAGGTGGCCAATATATACGGTCTGAACATCAGTACGGTGTCGATGATTATGAAGCGCTATCGTGACTTCGGGTACAAAACAAAACAGAAAACTGGTCACCGAAAACCACTGTTGAGTCCACATCAGAAGCAAACAATTATAGATTGGATGGATGCCGACTGTACGCAAACGTTGGATCAGTTGGCCGAACGATTGACCATTACTTTTGGCAAAAAGTGTTGCCAATCACGGCATCCGATTGCCAGTACTGTACGCGAGTTTCACTTTTCGTTCAAACGAATGGCCACACTGTTGGAAGTGGACAACAGTGCCGATACTATTGAAGCGCGCTATGAGTTTGCCCGACGTTGTCAACAATTGATAGCCGCCGACAATACCGATGACGATCGACCACAACAACAACGACTAGTGTTTTGCGATACAATTATCGTACAGATTTGGTCGCGAAATAGGTCTCCACTCGGCGGCGGTGTTGTAAAGCGTACGGCCACTGTCCGCAATCGCACCTATAGTATCTCATGGGCTATGTCTGATCGATCGGTGTTGGCTATGAATATTCAGGAAATTCCGGCCAACAGTGAAGTTCAGCCGATTTTTGTCGAGTTTTTTGGAAATTTTATTGCTAACAATGCTATCATTACTGACAACGACAACCACACCGCTGGTATGCATCTGATTGTCAACAGTGATCACAATACCGATGCTGTCATCGAAATGGTTGACAACAGTGGTGGTGATGGTTGTGTCGGACACGATATCACATTTTTGCCGCCATTTTCGCCGTTTTTGAATCCAATTGAAGGACTATATACTGATTGGCAAACATTTATAAGACAAATACAAAAACCAAATAATGAACGAGATTTACATAACAATGTTATTATGAATACCAATGCTTTCACTGATAACAGACAGACCAGTCATTACGTACAGCATATAAAACAATTGTTGAATCGGTGTCTAAATCGTGAAGTAATTAGTGGTAATGTTTGAACACAACAAAAGTTTTATTTTTAAAAAACTTATGCTTAATCTTAATAGATTTTGTTATTAATTTAATTTTAATAAATTTTTAACAAACAATTAGTAATTTATTACTACCGGTAAGTTATATACTGTATATAATGATTTTTTTTGGAACAATTTAAATGATTTTTGTTTATTAACAAAAAAAATATGATAAGTTTCTCTCTCTCTCTCTCTCTCTCTCTCTCTCTCTCTCTCTCTCTCTCTCTCTCTCTCTCTGACTGTATAAACAATATTGTAAAAAAAATAATTATAATTTTTTTTAATAAATAAAAGTTACTTTTTATACTATGATTAAACGTAATTTAAATATATTATAACTTTATATACAAATAATATTATTAAAAAAACATTGTTTATGTTTATACACTGTTTGTATACTAATAATAATAAGCAATGCATTGCATTGCCATTAGAAACTAAAAACAACAATTGATTTGTTGTTTTTATTTTTATGATATTTTATTTTATTAAATTGAAATAAACAAATGTGATTACAATTAATGTAACAATTTAGTTAATTGGGATTAGTAGTCATCAATCAATTGGTGTCCGACAACAACAACAATGTGTGATATAGTACTCAACGATTTGTTGGACGAGTTATCCGAAGACAATCGCCGATTGCGACAAGAGTTGACATTTCAGACACAATTGGTGAATGTCTTAGACGATTATCGGCGGCTGACGATGACTGCCAAAACACGATGTGTTTGTCCGCAAAATCGCCAGACATTTGCCGATACGAATCAATTGGACATCAAATACAAGCAGTTGATGTCCGGCGCCAATAAATCGCAAGATGTTGTGATAGTGGCCAACGATATTGTCGAAGAAGGAGAACAAGTGGTGCTAAGAAAATCTACACAAGAAGTGATTAGACGACCGCCGGTGACGACCACATCATCAACAACGACAACGAAGACAACTGAGGTTGAAATGAGTAGTTCAATGAAAAGGCGCAAAACAACTGATGACGACTTTGTCGAAGTCATCGAAACTGATCCAAAAGTTGTTAACCACAACAACAACAACAGCAATGAAAATTGTGCCAACAATACAAATCGTAAGACATATCACTGCCTACAATGCCAACAACAGTACGGATCACCACTTGATCTCAATATACACATCAACAGTATTCACAAATCGTTACAGACGTTTGTTTGCCACGAATGCAAACAATTGTTCCAAACGTACGACCAATTGGCCCAACATTTGAATACAAGTCATTCAAATCGATTACTATCACCTCAGAAGCCGTCGCCGCCGATAAGTTTGCCTTCAATGCAGTCACCTATAGTCCAGATTTTAATACCAAATCAGATACCGATTGGCCAGTTGTCAGCTTCATCGTCGTCATCATCATCAACAACTATAACAACAACATCATCATCGGTGATAGCGCCAGAAAAAGTGTTAGTCAACGCCCGCAGGTATCAGTGCCCGGAATGTTCGCAAATTGCAGATTCGGAGGCCATATTAGGCCAGCATTTGTTGGCCGCACATAAAAAACTATTGGCCTATCGTTGCAACGATTGTTTCGAAATGCTTTCCAGTCATCAACAGTTTGTCGTACATCGGCAACAATCGCATCCGAAGTTAGTTACCGTCAAAAACAACAACAATACTAACGCTAATAGCAGCACAAACAATGTTATCAACAAAGCTGGCCAACAATCGGCTGCCGCTTCTCCTCAACAACAACAGCAAAAGTCAAAATCAAAGATAACATCAAACACTGATAATCGTTGCCGATATTGTCCGCAAGTTTTTCCGAGAGAAAGTGCTCTACGGCTACACGAATACAGCGACCACTTGGCCTGTAAGTACTGTGAACTGGTTTTCAATACGATAGCAGAGCTGCAAACCCACGAACAGCTGAATCATTTGGTCTGTTCGGTCTGCAATCAGGTGTTCCGCAAATATCATCAGCTGATCAAACATAAGACTACTTTCCATCACATTTGTCTGATTTGTTCCCAAATGTTTCTATCGGCCACTGAACTCAAACAACACGATCTATCAGCTCATTCAAGTTGTCCACAGTGTGGCATAAATTTTCTCAATCGCGATGTTATGGCCAAACATGTGCGCTCATTTCACTCTACGCCAAAACCAACGGCACCGCCAACAGTGCCACCGCCATCATCACCACAACTATCAGCATCATCACCGGTGAATTTCAAGTGTGTGATATGTTATAAAACTTTCCCGAATAGCTCTGCACTAATCAGTCACCACCAACAGCATCCCAAGTGTCCGGATTGTGGCCAACTGTATCGTACATCCTATCAACTGATGGCACACAAGATGAGATCGTGTCGGAAGGGAACAGTCAGCCGATCGTGCGCCGACTGTCGTTTGGTGTGCGCTAATGAACACTGCTATGTTGGCCATCGGCGCGACGTACACCACGACCAGTGCTATTCGTGCGGCGATTGCGAATTCATTTCACTGGCCACCGATGAGCTAACTAATCATCGGGCAATAGTTCACGGGATCGATCCTACTGCCAAAATAACGGCGCCACCGCCGTCGGTAGCGGCCGCTGAGTCGACAGAGTCAGACGTATCGTTATTTGATGTGTCCATCATTGTCTACCAGTGCTCAGTCTGTAAGCGTACGTTTGAATCGGATCGTCAACTAAACGATCATATGGTCAACGATCATAAGATTAATTCTGTGAAATACTTGTGCAATAAGTGTCGGCGATATTTCGATACAACCAATCAACTGATCCAACATCAGGTTGTGTGCAGTGGACCACAAAAGCGAAACAACAACTTTCGTAGCCCTAATTCAAGCAGCACTAGTAGTCGTAGTAGTAGTAACACTACGGCTGGTGCTGCTGCTGCTGCTATCACTGATGGTAGCGATGATCAACAATTCAAGTGCCGTACGTGTCAAATGATATTTTATGACCAAATAATTCTTGAGACACACGAAATAGTTGTTCACAATACACAACAGACCTATAGTAGTAGTAGTAATACTGATCCGACGACATCCGAGACGACGACAACAACAACAACAACGAAACCGACAACCAGTTCAAAAAATAAGCGAAAAAGTTCTCCACAATTACTATGCGATAAGTGTCACAAACTGTGTGTTTCGGCACAAGAACTAAGCGATCATCAAAAACAATGTCATCCGTCGCCGACAGATAAAGCCATCGATATTCATGACTTTACTACCGATGCCGCCAATCATTCCGATATGTTATCTATTGATGAAACAATTCCAGCAAATGAGTGTCAATTAGATTTAGGTTTTTTTTAATTTTTTTAGTTATTGTTTTTTTAATCACAACATTAACAACAAAATTTTTTACTAATTTATTTTTTATCAATTAAATTTTTTTTAGATGATATTCAAGATCTACTAAAACCAGAAATTATTAAACAACAACAACAAAACAATATGAAAGTAAAACCTAATCAGCGATTGACTAACAACAACGATATGGACACTACTTGTTCCGACAATACTAGACGACATACCAATCCAGTTGCCACTAATGCGGACAATAGTAGTGGTGGTGGTAGTAGTCATCGTCGAGATGAAGCGATTAATACATTACGGACCGAACTCCAGAACTTTAATCAAAGTAAACGACTTTGAAATTAGTTAAAGATTTTCTATTAATTGATTGTAATTTTTGTTGTTATTGTTGTTGTTGTCTATGAAATCAGTTAAAGTTAAACAAGAAGAAGAAGAAGAATTGGTTATCAATATTGATGATGAAGAAGAAGAAGAAGACGAGTATATCGAAGGAGTTTTGCCATTAGATCCATGAGTTTTATTTTTCGACCGAAAAATTACTCACAAAAAATGTTTTAATTTTTTTTAATAAATAATAAACAAAACATAAAACTCATTGAATTTAGTTTATATATAATAATATTAAATTAATCAAAATGTTTTTTTTCTTATATTTTTTATTTAGTTAATTAATTATATCAATCAATCAATCAATCAATCAATTATTTATTCATTCATACAGTATTTGTTTTGTAAATGTCGTTCAATAATAATAATTAAAAAAAATTGTTATTTTTATTATAACCGGTACATTAAAAATATTTATATATGTATTATATTTTATAAACAATTAGTTATCAATCAATTATAACCATGGTAATATCCATTATCAATTTTGGTGATACTATTTATACCTGTATTTATGCCATAACTAAATATTATTGAAACTTTTTCAAATTTTAATTACCGATAATATTACTATATATGTAATACACTGTACACAACACAGTATTACTAATTTTTTAGTATTAAATTTCAATTAAATATACATTATTATTATTATTATTAAAGTAAAAATTAATGATTAAATACTTTCTTATAACAGTCTGTATAATGTGTTGTAAAAATAATTATTTGCAACAAAAAAAAAATAACATTTAATTACTTTTAAATACTTTAAAAATAACTTTTTTTTGTGTTTCTCTATCTCTCGTAATTAGTGTGTTTCCAATGGAAACAACACACTCTACTGTATAAACACATTGAATATATTTATATGATATAAATGTAATAATCAATGAATTTTATTATTGAATGAATTACAGTATTTATAGAGTACTTTAAACTGCAGTAATATTTTCCAATGCATTGTATGTTTTGATGATAAAACAAAAAATGTTTTTATGTTTTGTTTACATTTTGTTTACTATTATTATTAATAAGTCTATTGACTCACACATTGTCTGACTATTTGTTTTGTTTTGTTTTGTTTTGTTTGTCTGTATGTATGGTCTGAACAATCACTTTGTTTGTTGTCTTTCATCAAATTTCATTGTCCCGATCATCGATTGGCGGCGGCCTCGTCAGCGTCAGCGGCCGCGACCTTACAGTAACCACCAAAATGTCTTCACCACCAATCGCTTGTTCAATGTCCTCCTCCTCCGCCGCCACCAATTCATCGGCGATAGTTGTCAACGACGTATTGGACGAGTTGTACGAAGAAAATCGTCGACTGGCCGATGAATTGGCTTACGAGCGGCGATTGACTGCCGTATTGGACACTATCCGTCGCGATTCACTTGTATTGGTCAACGATTGCAAATGTAATCGACAACTACAACGAAAATCAGTTGGCAGTGGCAGTGGTGGCCGCAGTTCGACAGCCGACGAACGTGTTCACAGACTTATTGACAATAATAAATTATATCAGCGGCTGATTGACGACAAACAATCGGTATCGCAAATCAGTGGCCAACAACAACAACAACAGCCGTCAAGACATGAGCTGGCATTCAATGGCAAGCATTATGTCATTGAGGACTCGGCGGCGATATCCACGACGACATCTAAGCGCAGATCATCGATGCAATCGCTACAAGAGAAACACCATTTGCCACCCGATGTGACCATAAGTGAGATCAGTATTGTCGGCGGTAACGGTATTAGTGGTGGCCAACAGCGCACCTCCGGTGGTAAACAATTGTCGTCGTCTGTCGGTTCGCCTAAAAATTCATCGTTGTTGTCATCGATGGCCTATCGATGTCTTAAATGTAATAAAACTTTTTCCAATTCAGATGATCTCAACCATCACTCGAATACTGTTCACCGAACCATTCAATCACAGTTTCATTGTCGCGAATGTCGCCTTATATTTCCAACACGTGAACAGTTGACCACACATTTGATTCAGGAGCACACCTACAGCGGAGGTGGTGGTGGTAGTAGTAGTAGTGGAACAGGTAATCGTGTGTCGCTGCCACAGATTCCACAATTTAGTTGCCAAATGTGTCCGAAAGTTTTCCAAAAAGGATCGGCACTATTGAATCACATGTCGGTCCGGCACAATGTAGCCGCCTATCGGTGTCCGACGTGCGACTGGAAAGGCCGGTCGACACAGTCGCTCAACTATCACTACAATGCCAGACACTGTCCGAAAGCAGCGGCAAACTCGCCAATGAAATCGTCGGCTATGCGAAAGATTGGCCGACGTGTACGCTGTCAGCACTGTGATTGGACGGGCAAATCGTTGGCCGCCAAATCACGTCACATAACTACCACTCATAGAAAAGCGTTGGACGACAATGAAAGTGGTGGCAATAATAATAAGTCATCGAAGTTTACATTTATGAGCCAATCGTTGCGTAATTGGTTAGAGACGACACCGCCGAAGACAAAAGTGCAGTCAAAGCCACAGCAGCCGTTACTGCCGCCGCCGCCTCCACAACCGTCGAAAACAACAATTACCGGTAAATATCGTAAAACTATATACAAGTGTCCGCTTTGCGAGTGGACTGGTAAGTCAGCAGCTTCTTATTGTTATCATAAAAAAGTTCACAAGAAATGGGAAGCCATGAAAAAGTCGACGACAGCACCAGATAGTCAACAAAAGTTTACATTTGTTTCAGACATATTGAAAGGCAAATCTACCGTTAAATCTAAACTTCCAGTAATTCGCAGTATTATATTGCCAACGGTTACCGCTTTGGACGATCGCCAAAGTACGGGCGCCGCCGGCGACAATGTCTACTACCGGTGCTACGATTGCCAAAAAGATTTCGATTCGGTAGACGATTTAAAAAGACATGCATCGACTGTACACCAGAATATTCATCCGTATTGTTGCGACAAATGTTCGGCCATTTTCAGCTCGTGGTCACAATTGTCTACTCATTCTGAACATATGCATAATCGTCAATTAGATCAGCCCTCCTTCTCATCAGCAGCTGATCCGTTAGAGTACGTTAGTACCACCTACTCGGCAGCCAACGAACCGGCGGTCACTGTTGTAGCGCAGCCAACAAACAAGACGACGACAATTATCGGTAAAAATACGTTTATGAAGACGAATGACAAACAAAACAACTCACGAAAACAAAAGCCTAAGACTGATAGTTTCAAATGTCAGATCTGTGTGTTTGGCGGCAAAAATATTGTCGAACTTATCCGACATTTGGCGGCCGAACACGCCGTCAATGGTTACAATTCCACTCTATACCAGTGCAGCGAATGTACGGCCAGTTTTTCGAAAGACATTAGCATCAGATATCACTTGACATCCATACATAAGATTCCGGCCTTCGAGTGTCTCCAATGCTTTTGGGTCGGTATGTCTAAACAGTCGCTCAATTATCATGAAAAAAGCAAACATCAGATAAATAGTAGTATCGGCAGTAGTGGTGGTGATGTTAGCGGTAATGGCGAAGAATCTGGTGGCGAACAATTGAACGATAAATATGTCGGCGGCATCAATGACCGAATGATGCAGCAAATAATGGCCACCGCTATCTCGGGCCACGCCCGCGATAATCGAAGCAAGAAACAATCGATGCAATCATCATCATCGGATGACCAATTGGCGGCGGCGGTTACCGGTGGAGGACAACAACATGACGACTTGCGTGACGATGTTATCACTAGTGGAGATATGGATGACATGATATTGGACTTTGACATTGGTATGCATTGTTTTTGTTGACGGATCTATTTGAAGACATTTTTTGTTTTAATCTTTTTTTGTTGTTGTCTGTCTTTGTCCGACACAGATATAGTCAAACAAGAAGTCTCTGACGAATTAATACAATCCATTGCAGCTGAATATCAGCCACTTCTTCCTGTTACTCATGATATTATCAAAACTGAATCTGAATTTTTTTAATCACTAATTTTTTGTTTGTTTGTTTGTTTTGTTTGTTTTATTTAGTTTTTAAACATTACATTTACACACAATTGGGATATAAATTTATAGATTTTACTTTTATTTTGTTGTTATTATTATATTATTATTATTATTAAATTAAGAATAATTTACTGGTAATAATTACAATTTTTTTTGTTTGTAAAATTTATTTTTTAATATTTTGTAATTTACAAAATTTATGTGTCATTTATGTTAAATTATTATTATTATTATTACCAGTAAATTAATCAAGTATTATTATTATTATTAAGCTCTATTTAATACCTATAATAAGTTTAATACAAGAAAATATAGTGAAATTTTCTAAAAAAAAATTGTTTTAGATTTTTTATTTATTATTAATTACTATTATAAATTTACAGTAATACTATTACAATATTTATAAATTTACTTAAATTCATTTGAAAATATTACAAGATTTTACGGTAATATTATTTTTTTTTCAATAATTACCGGTAGATTACATTTGTTACAAACAAACAAAAATCTGTAAATTAAAACATTGTATTTATTATAAATAGTTTCTAATTATTTAATAATAATAAAAAAAATTAATAATAACTATTATAATAAAAATATTACCTTTTTTTTAAAAAAAAACTAACAAAATTATTAGTTGGCTAATTAATTAATTGAATCAATAATAACAACAAAAATAAAATTAAATATTATTAACAACTCATACAATGTATATCAACAAAAAAAATTACGGTAAATTTATTATTAAGAAAAAAAACAGATACATACTCTATCAAAAAAATTAATCTAGGTAAGTTTTAATTAATTAATTAATTTTTATTACAAAATTTTCTTTTCAACCAACAACAACAACAAAATCAATTACCGGTAATTGATTTTTTTGTTGGTTACTGTTTCTACCTTTCAATTTGTATTATTATTATTATTATCTATTTATTACCTGTATCTGTATTGTTATTATTATTATTACAAGCCTGTATAGGCCGAAAACAATCGGGACAGTATGCTATTGGAGCGGGGACCTTTCGGATAGGTGCCGGCCGGCGGTAACAGTGTTTTGCATTCAGAATTTTCGTGACCATAGCCCTGGCAAACAATATCGGGTAGTCGGGATAGGGCCATACGTAGCAATAGTTTCATAAATTCTACGGCCTCTTTACCGCACCGGCTTTCGACCAGATTTTCGATGCACTGGAGAAAGCGCCTGTAGGCGCAACAACCGGCCGGTATACGTTTGTCCCATTCGACTTGTGTGACCACTTCCAGTGCCGCCTGAAGATCTTTGACACATATACGTTGGGTACGTTGGGCACTGTTCAGACAGCTGGCGTGCTTTAGATAACTGTGCCTATCGGGTGTGGGTAACAGGGTATCAATAGTTGGTGGGGTGGGTGAGTAGTAGAGACAGGTTATAGATGTATGGATGGAAAGGTATATAATTTATTTTATTATTAAATCATTTATTATAAGTTATATTTTAATCTGTTTTTTTAGTTTACTATATATATATATACAGTATATAATAGTAGATTTTTTTTCAACAACAACAACAAAAAATACTTAACTGTAGTTGCGATCCGCGGGTACAGTACTCGGACAGTAGTCTCAGCGAACCCTCAGTAACAAACTGTATGAGCTCGCGTTGCAATGGTGTTGAGCACCGGCGGGTATAGTTTCGTAGACAAAAGTCGGCTTCGCGAAGATAACCGCACTGTTTGTTCAGTTCGTTTTCGGTGGTGGCAATGCCGGCCGGATTCTGGGTAAACACCAACAGTGTAGCCGCGCACAGATCCAGTTCCCTCAGATGACACGACTGTGCCGACACTGATGTCTGGTAGCCACGAATGGACAACAGGGCCGCACACAGCCAGGTAAACACGACTACCAATTGTTGGGTCATTATCACTACTACTACTACTACTATCACTTTAAAGGTTATGTATATAATCTATAATCCTATCTCTCTCTCTCTCTCGGTAGGTTAGGGTGCGCCGCACTCGTACATACACTTGAAATAAAAAAAATTAATTTGACAGCCCTTTCCCTTTCAGATAATCCCTATAGATTTATTTTTTTGTGTCTGTATGTGTGCACCGGGATAGTGAACAGTTAGCTAACCTCCTCCTCCTCCTCTTTGTGTGTGTGTGTGTGTTTGTTGACACACTTATGTTAGATATAAACTATATATACATTTATATATTTTTAAAAAAATCTAATTAATAAAAATGACTAAATTAAAAACTATTGGGAAATTTAATTAAAAATAAAAAATAAAAATAAAATTTGATTTATAGTTATACAATATTATACATAATCATACAGACAAACAAAAAATATATATTAATATTAGTGAAAATAAAAAGTTTCTTTTTTGTTGTATAAAATTTATTATAATCTGAATATCAATTACAATCTCAAAAGTTATGCTAATATATGTTATGTTACAACTTATGTAATATTGAAATATATTATATATACTGTATATAACGTAACAGTGTGTCTGTATATATAAGGCATAAAATTTGTGGGTATTTTTGCATTAAAAATAATGTGAAAGTGTTTTTATATTATTATTATAACTATTATTATTATTATTACTATTACAGTATGGTGTGGGGGACGGGTATACTATTATGTGCTGTATCTATATGTATTGGGTGTGGGTGCTGGTTTGTTTAGGGGACAGGGAGATTATATCATCAGTATTATTATTATTATTATTATTATCATCTCAATTTGGTAATCTAAAAAAAAAATTCATGGGAACTGGTGCTGACCCGAAAACAACAAATAACAATAATAATAATAATAATTTTTATTACTATATATATTATTATTATTATTATTTATTTTACATTTAGATTTTATATCAAAATCAATAGTATAGTAATTATTAAATCAAAAAAAAAAATTATATTAAAAAAAGTGCATATAAAATATGTATAAAAATATTTATATTATATATATGTATATAATATTTAGTGAATCTTTAGTTTGTTTTTTAATCAAAAAAAAAATTTTTTTTATTAAATAAATTTAATAATAAGATTTGCATATTTAAATATTGACATAGAAAAACAAATAAATAAATATATATATATTTTTTAATTAAATATTCAGTAAAATAGTTGTTCAAAAAACTTTTGTTGTTTTTTTTTAAAAAAGTTTAGTTTAACGCATGTGTATATTTGACAACAATTTTATAGTATAGTAGTATTTTTATGTACTGTAACTATACATATGTTTGAATGTATGTATGCATTACGTACTATACATGTATATAAACTTCTATTGAAAACAATGTATGACTCATCACTTGTATAGTAGAGTGATCAACAACACAACCAGTAATATCACCTGTATTTTAATTATCAAAATAAAAAACGGAAGTGAAATTAAATTTAGATAGAATAAAATTATTAATAAAATTTTAAAAATTTATGCACACAGATTATTTTTTTAAATTTAAAAATTTATCAAATTTACTATTAATAAAAATCGATACTAAAGCATTAAATATATATTTTTTAAAATAACTAATATTCTATTTTGAAAATATAAAATATTAATAAAAAAAATTTTTTTAATAATGCACAGTTTTAATTTAAAAATTTATTAAATTTAGTATTAATAAAAATCCATACTAAAGCATTAAATATATATTTATTTATTTATTTTTTTATTAAAATAACTAATATTCTATTTTTTTTAAAAAAATAACAAATATGAATGAAAATTAATATATAGTTTTAGTTTTGAAAACAGTTTATTTGATCACCCTATTTGGCAACAGGCATACCGTATGAGTCATCATCATTGCATTTGCATTGCTCTCTCTCTCTCTCTCTCTCTCCTACAGGCTGTACATGTTTTTAAAAAATGCTCCCCCCTATTGTAAATCTATTATTGTCTATGTCTATATACATATACAGTACTACTACTGGGGGTAATCTATACTATACACACTGGTTTTAAATACAATAATCCCCCCCCGTCTCACATAGTAAAAATACGTTGTATATACATATATTATCAACGTGTATAAATTTATATATGTATTGACGTATATATACGTATAAATGTCTAATATATATTAGTTGACTTGCGCTTTTCTAACCAAATAAAACTAAATATGCATGCTACAATACCCACTGCTAGTATTATATACAGTATAATATATTTAATTGTGCAACACTTTATATACTTAAACTTAAAATTATTACCATAAATAACGTCTATGTATTTTAGTTGTATTATAGCCAATAATTTTTAATACAGTATTAGTAGTTAATATAAATTTTATATGTTATATATATATACTGTATATAAATGTTTTTCTAGTCACCCTTACCCTCCATAGAGGAACAGTATTTATAGCTAACTGAGCCATATATATATATTAAATAGACGACTGGTTTGCCATTGAGTGTGTGCAGCACTGTATGTATGTATATATACTACAGTAGTATATATAGTGTATTATTGCATAGACATCGGTGTAATAACAGTCATAATAATACTAATAATATGAGACTACTATTAGACACTTAAATAATATTAAAAATATAAGTGTGTGTACTGTATATGACATGTTTGCCATTTATATATGCAATTAAATGTTTTAGTATTAATTTAATATTTTATATATTTATATATACATAGTTAATATATTTTTGATAATTAATTATTATTATTATAAAAATAATAAACATTTTTGTTTAAAAAAAAAAAATTAAAATACTGTGTCTGTGTTATTAAAAATAAACATTTTGTTTCAAATTTTTTTTTGTAAGTGTGTGTGTATCCCATCATATATTACACTACTATATATACATGCTATTTTTTCAACTATTAATGCAACTAGTGTATTTATTAATTAATTAATTAAATTTTAATATATATTTGTGAATAGCTCAATTTAGCTATATATATATATATATATATATATATATATATATACAGTATATTTATAGATAGATAGATATGTAAATGTATATATACAGTAGATATATTAGATAATTTATGCAACTATTTTATAATAATAATAATAATTTTATATATGACAATAATAATAATAATGATGATGATGCAAATTGTTGTAATACCTTAATAATAATTATTATTATTATTAAATAACAACAATCAATATATATATATATATATATTAACATTATATGCCAATAAACTAATTAAAAAAAAAAATATTAGATAGATCAAATTAAAATTTTTAATATCAAAGTGACATTGTGTGTTTTTTTTTGTTGTGTTTGAATGTACTTAATTTGATATATATAAACTATAGACTTGCCAAATAATAATAATAACAATAATGGATAATTATTACCAGGACAACAACAATAATAATACTATTAATAATAGTATTAATAATAATAATAATAATCAGGAAAACAATATAAAAATGTTGAAAAACAAGATGACATTGGACTTTAATTCGCCATCAAGTTTCAATAATAAAAGGAGCAAGCTCATGAAAACTTGTATATTAGAGTCGCCAGGTACATATTTTATTTATTTTTTTGATAATTTAAAAAAATAAGCATGCTAAATGCTTAAATTTTATTAATGCAATATATAGTATACTGTATAATACTAACTTTAAAACTTTATCCTATTTTTTTTGTTCACCCCCCCCCCACCCCCTCGACCACCCCCACCCGTATATGGACAGATCTAAAAATGTGCAAGCTCGGTTCGCCCGAATTGGAGCGCCTGATAGAACAGGGCAGCGTCGGACTGGTCACACCGACACCGTCGGCAGTGTTGCCATATTTTATGAAACAAGAGGAACAGGAGGTAACCGAAGAACAGGAACTGTATGCCAAAGGTTTTGTCGATGCACTAAACGAATTGCACCGACAGACTACTACCGATAACGGTACGGATCAGACTAACGGCCATCAACAACAACATCAACAACAGCATCACCACCACCAACAACAACAACACTCGGGCAATGGCCATATGAGCGGCGGCCATGTCATCGACATTACCACTACTACCGCCAATAATATCAACATAAACAACAACAACAACACCAGCAACGGGTGTCGCCAGCAATCAAAGGTAGTGTTGATTACCGGAGGACTACCACCACCACAACCATCATCACAGCTGCCTCCGCCGCCACAACCGACCATTACTACTGCTAACGCCGATGACAGCCGATCGACAACGACAACGACGACAACAATACAATCGTCAAAGTTGTTGACACAAACACAGGCGCCACAGCATCATCAACAGCAGCAGTTGCCGCAACCGACACCCACATCGGTAGCTACCAGTGTCCACCAACAACAACACCTACAGCAGTCCAACAACAATAATAATAATAATATGTTGGCACCGATCGATATGGTAGACCAGGAACGGATCAAATTGGAGCGAAAACGATTGCGCAATCGGATAGCCGCTTCAAAGTGTCGCCGTCGGAAACTTGAACGCATTTCACGGCTTGAGGACAAAGTCAAGTGTTTGAAATCGGAAAACTCGGACCTGTCTATTGTGATCAACAAACTAAGAGATCAGGTGTGCTCATTGAAACAGCATATCATGTCTCATGTCAACTGTGGCTGTCATATACAGTCGCCATCGACGACACAGATAGCGTGACACCACCACCACCACCAACACCGCTGGAAGCACCGGGAGGCTAGAGTTTGGACTGTGTGTGAGATACAGGATATATAAATATAGAGTATATATAGAGTATAAGATATATAAATATTTTCATTTCTAAACATTGTTATATTATTATTATTATTATTATATCGATATTTTTTTATAAATACATAAATTTATTTAAATACAACAACAATTTATATATATATATATACAGTAAATATTATAATAATAATAATAAATTTCACATTTATATGATATTATACATCACAACAATTTGTGATCAATTTTTTTCACTATTATTAATATTTTTTCATTTGTTTTGTAATGTTTTTTTATTTGCTGTGGTTTTTTCATTGCCATTGAAAAAAAATTGTTGCTAACATTTGTTAGTGTTTTTTATTGTTGGTTTGCTTTCATTGTCTTTGTCGGCCAATTGTTTTGTGTCATTCAATACATAATTAAATTTGTTATTATATTTCAGAGCACTTGTATGCATATGGAAACATATGCCTAAATCTCTCTCTCTCTCTCTCTCTCTCTCTCTCTCTCTCTCTCTCTATGCGCTATCAAACTGATGCCATATAGAGATAGCGGTAAAACATATACTAAATCTATTGGTTTATCCGAAAATTTTATGCATTCAATGTCTATATAATTTATGCCGCAGCCGTGTGTATGCAGTATTGATAAATTTAATCAATAGATCCATACATACAATCGACAGCACCTTTACCTATGGGACAATCAAACCTTTCATCTACTCTCTCTCTCTCTCGATTAACATGTTGTCTATGAAATCTCATACTTTCCTTCATGTCGTGATTGACACCTTTGATCACAACTAACAAATCAACAACAAAATGTTTGTTCAGACTTTTATTTTTTTTAGCTAACAATTTCATATATACAATATATAACATAACCTAACGGTTCATTAGGTCCGACATCTGTGTGCTTCCCATTCATTGATGGTTGAGTTCCCCCAATGGGTCGACAAAATTGCTTTTATATTGCAGTTTTATCAATAGATTTTTGCATCAAAATTTTTTATTACTAAATTAGTGTGTGTGTGTGTGTGTGTGTGTGTGTGTGTGTGTGTGTGTGTATTGTTTTAATTGTTAATTTATTACTGAATATATTTATTATAATATAAGGTACTAAGCCTTATTTTATAAATTATAATTATTATTTTATTTATTTATTTATTAATTTAGCTATATATTAGCATTATCTTTACTTTAGTATTAAAATTATCAATTTATATTCAACAAATTAATTGCTAAATTATGCTAATTAAAAAAAAAAACATTTTTTGTTTTTAAAAATAACATGAATTATAGTGAAAAATTAATTTTACTATTTTTTTGAAAAATTTTATTTTATCAAACTTTTTATTAAGTAATGTTTAAATAAAATCAAGTTTTTTTATTATCTTTTATTTTTAGTTTTATTATTTTACATTTTCCTAAATTTCATACAGAGATATCACTTTTTACTATTAATAGTAGATTAACTGTAATACTAAACAAAATATTAATAAATAAAAAAAATCAAAACAGATATTATTGATAGTTAAACAGTATATAATTATATAGTACTCTATATTTAATAATATCGTATAGTTATCTAACTTTTTTAAGTTTCAATTATGATAAATATATATATTTATCATTTTAATTAATAATAATACTGTAATAAGTTTATTATATTTAAAAAAAAAAATAATAAATGGGCATATTTTTATGATGACTAATTTTGTTTACTTTAAATTATTATATATTTTATGATAGAAGCCACACATGTGATAATAAGCTAGTAATCAACAACAAAAAATAATTTTATCAAAAATATTTTATTTTATTTCAATAATAACTAATTAGTAATTAATATAAATTTATTAAATGCCATTATTGTTATCTAATATACTGTACAGTATATACTGTATTTGTACATTACTATACTATGATTGTCAATATCATATGATTATTGAAAAAATGTGTTTTTTTTAATATGTTTATTAATGTTATGAAATCTATAGTAACAAAAAATATTATTATCAAAAAATAAAATAAATATATTTACAGTAATTAAGTACAGTATCTCATATTATATGTAATGTTATTTCAGGATAAAAATATGTTTTTATTTTCTATAATAAAAATAACATTTTTCTCGCTAATTCCGGTAAACTTTTTTTTCTTACTTAAACATATTTTTTAAATGAATTGCCGATATCTTTGACAATGATTTATGAGAGAGAGAGAGAGAGAGAGAGAGAGAGAGAGAGAGAGAGAGAGAGAGAGAAAGAGAGAGAGTAATATGTTTTTTAGTCAAATAATAAAGAAAAAACATTTTAATTGCTTCTCTGCCTTTTTGCACTTACATACCATATATGATATATCCATATAAACCTATATAAATAAATATTATAATAAAACTATTTTATTTATATATAAAAATATATGTGATTATATAGTCGGGGAAACCCAGATCTCTCTCTCATAGAAAATCTCCATAAGCCATAAACTACAGTATACTTTACTATATTATATCCCAGTGTCCACATATATATATATACACTAGTAATATGTAATATACCAGTGCACTTTTACATGGCTTAATGGCTAATATTGTATAACTGGGTGCCGTAAATGATTAAAGTGTGGCATCCAATGAGAGAGGCATGTCGTGCGGCTGATACGTGGGTTTTTATAACATTAGGACTTATATTGTAAATAGATATATATATATATGCCATAACTTAAAAACATTATTATATTATATAACTATTTCCAACATTTGTTGCAATAGTAGTAGTGCTCTCTCTCTCTCTCTCTCTCACACACACACACACACACATACACACAGTATATATATAATATATTATTATGGATTTAAATTTATTTATTTTTTTGAAAAAATATATATATATTTTATGACTTCTAATATTTATAACTCAAGGCTTAAATCGACACAAATTTTATTATTATTATTTATTTTTGTGTGTTTGTATGGATGAAACATACATTTAGTTTTTTTATGACTGCATTATTCATTATGCAACCAAAAAATGTTTGCAATAAAAAATAAAGAGATAATGATTTTTTTGTATCTCTCTCTCTCTCTCTCTCTCTCTCTCTCTCTCTCTCTCTCTCTCTTATGTGACATTAATATAAACTAACTTAGATTTATATAAGTTTAAATAAGTGTTAGTAAATGATTTTTTTTATATAAAACAATTTTTTTAATTGATATTTTTATACATACAGATATTAAATATAACTTTTATTTTTTAAAGTGATACTTATCTTACAATTTATAATTATTTAAATATATCTGATATTTATGTTACGACTATTTATATATATCTTATATGTTATTTTTAAAAATAATGTTATTTTTCTGATTAATTAATAATAAAAGTCATTATAGTTGCAAATTAAATATTTATACATATATAAACTATTTCAATATATATATAAATATTTATCTATAATAATTATATTTAATAGCTGTATATATATATTGAATTACAATTTAGCATTAAATGTTGACGCAAAAAAGTAATAATAATAATAATATTAAATTTATATATAAATATATTTTTTTAAAAATCAGTATATATCTCCATGACATTAAATTATTTACAATAGTTTTATTTTAGTAAACAATTTATACATTATTTATTTAGCTATATTATAATTTATTTTTTTTTTAAAAATCCATCAAAAATTTAAAAAACAATCATAAAGTTGACAATGAAATTTTTATTATTTGTATAATTTATTTTTAAAATAAATTGAAAAATTTTCTTTAAAAAAATTTCTATTAAGTTATTATACCCAAAGTTAATGACTATTATTATTATTATCCTCATAGTTATAAATTACAACTTTAATAACTTATAATATTACAAAAATCATAATTGAAATTAATATATATATATATATATAAATTTTTATTTCAATTTTCATTATTTTCTTGGAATTGCAATCATATATATTATTACTAATAAAACATAAAAATATGTGAAAATATTTGATGGAAATAAGTTATAATTGTAAACGAAATGAAATGTTTTAAAATTATTTATAATATTGTTATGTATTTGCGTGTATATAATAATTAAAAATTATTTTAAAATTATTTTGTACTCTATTATTATTAGTATTATTGATAAATAATTATTAGTATTAAAATTAATATAATTAAAGACATCATATCATTTTACTAAAATTATTAATACATTAAACTAATAATAATAATACTGTAATAATAATAATATTGATAAAATTAATTATACATTATCTACTATTACAGAACAATGATAAAAATTTTATTTAATATGATATTGTTTTTACTAAATTGCTAGTTTATACAAAACAAAACAAAATAATTATTGGCAAACCTATCTATCAAACATAATTTTTAATTAATTATTTAATTTTTTTTATATTATTTTATTAAATTAAAAATATTATACTGTATAATATATATATAAATTTATATATATATATATATATATATATATATATATATATATATATATATTTAAAGTATTAATTTTTAATATCGATCAATCAACCTATATTATATATATAATTTTTTATTAGATTAAAAAAAATAAATCTATAATTATTTAGTAATAACAATAATTACACACTATTGATATAATATATATCAATTTTTTCTTGAAACAAATAAAACAAATAAATCAGTTATCAATAATTGAATTTTTATTATTGATATTTTAATTTATTTTTAAAAAAGAAACTTAATAAAACTAACATATTTTCATGGATAAAAATTAACAATTTTGTTTAATATTACTAAATAATTCAATATTTTCAACAACAAAAAAAATTCAATAGATTTACTATAATATAAAATTTTTATTTGAAATTATTATATATATATATATATTTAGTATCATTAAAAAAAAGTTAATATTATTTTTACTCTAACAGTATTCTATGGTCAATGGGTTGTCTGTCTTTTATTTTTTTTCAAAAATTTTATTTTTATATTATAAATGATAATAACTATTATAACTACAGGTATTATATTATTATTATTAATATAATAATTTCAATTTTCAAGG